TTTTGGTAAATCATTTTTTTCCATGAAAAAACATTTTCTTTTCATTTTTTGCATCTACTTTTCTTGAACATTAAACACGGTTATTAACCCGTTCCAGTTGCCCACTTAATTAGTCAATAGATTCTTGAGATTAATCTCCTTTAGATTACCTTTTCTGGTTAACCTTTCTTAACCCTTATCACTTGATTGAACGACTGACAACAGGGAGTGAAAATGGATGGCAAAGAGTTGAATGTTACTGTCAATTACAGAAGCAATTACAATTGATAACTACATCCCATTTGATTGATTTTTTTCCTCTTTTCTCAACCTAACTTTAACCATTGTTAATTGTACCAATTGACTTGATGAAAAGAAAAGCCCAAAAAGCTAGAGAAAAGTGAAATTTGTTTAACCGTAAGTTCAACTTCTAGTTAAGAGTTGAATATTTGAAGATATTAAAAATAAGTGAATCTATGAAATAGTTTCAAGTTTTCCGAGTGAACAAGTTGAAGTCAATATTCATTTATACTCGATGAGCTTTGCTTTCATTTGAATGGTTGAGAGGAACAAACAGTTCCGTTGGAAGGAAAAGAGTTTTTAATCAACTTTCACTCGGCACAATCTAATGACATTATCAACAGCAATTGACCGAACTTTCGAAATTTTTAAAACGAACAAACCAGATATTCGAAAAAAATTCATCTAATTATAACTGTATTTGAATAACGTTTATGTGATAATGTCAATGTGAATAAATTGAAGGCTGGAAAAATGGTTGAAATGTAATAACAATAAGAAGCTACAGAATGAAATTCAACTGCAAACTCCTACATGTTTCAGTTAATAATGATGAGCTTATTTTCATTGCAAATTGTGCTGAATAAAGATGATTATTTTATCCTGTTGATGAAGCATCTGAAATTGATTCAGGAAGGCAAATGGAAGAAGAAGAAGAAGAAGAAGAAAAAGGAAGAAAAGAAACAAAATTGCATCTCATTAGATTGAAGGCAATACATAAATAGCTTTTACATGAACAGATAATTGTGAAAATGAGAGTTTCAATGTAAAAAAAAGACAAATTATCATGAAATATATTGAACAGTTGTTTGATCAGTTGACAGTAAATGACAATTTGTTCAATATTAGCTTTTGTTTTGCTCGTTTTGTTGCCTTCTGTAAGCAACTGTAAAGAAATGTAAAAATGTCAAATGAATTTATAATTTGATATTGAAATAGATTCGAGTTGTAACTTTCATTTCAACCTTTTCTCATCAGGTTAAAGGTTCAACGTGACTTTGATGCTGATCAGCATTCATTTAGCAACATTCAACATAAATATTCAGTGATTTAGTTGTTAATAACATTGGAATATTAATATCGATTGGAAAAATGACTTTTCTTCAGATAACTTGAAAGTCAACTTTTTTGCTCTTCTTTTCACAGTCAGTCCTTCAACTGTAACCAAACTTGATTATCATGTTGATATTGAATAACTTCTTGTCCAGTAAATTTATCTCTTTTTTTCTTCTTCTTTTCTCTTAACTTTCAGTTTCTATCAATCTGACAATTCTCAACATTTCAATGTCCTTCAGCACATTTTCATCCGTAATGAGACTACAGACGTTTTTACATATGCATCTTATGTCGAGTCTCTCTCTTGATAAAACAATATTTTTCAATGATATTAGAGATTACAAGACTGTCATGAACATGATAAGGATTCCAGAACGAAATCATCATTATATTTTATTCTGGTAAATGTTGACAGTCAAATGTGTCTCAAATTATTAATGTACATCAATGTTTAAAGGCTAAATTTAACTTGAACTAAAGCTTTTCTTTCCTGGACAATTGGTTCATGTTTACTTTCAGTTGTTTACTTGCTTCAACTGACAATATTGAACATTTCTTGTTCATGAAAACATGGCAAAACATTTTTCACTGCCTTCAAAGGTTCCATCAATTTGATCATTTCAGCCATCAAAATGTAATGTTTAGCAATCCTTTTTTTCTGGTTATTTTGCAAAATGAGTTTTGAAAACAACTTTTCTATTCTTTCATTAAATATGCAGGTAAAGCGCAAATAATAGCCTCTATCTGGACACTGGATCGCTATTTTTAGTCCGTTCATCAATTTACATTCAACTCGAAATTTCAACTCAATTCTTCGCTTCGTGTTAACATCTAACAGAAAAATTCATTTCAAGTTAACAGTTATGGAAATTACTCTTGATTATAACATAGACTTGATACAATAACATTTTTTCGATTGAGCCAATGGACTGAATCCAAATTTGAGTTACATTTTGATCTTAAACTGTGATTTTTGCTAATAATGAATCGTTCAACTTTAAACAGAAAGACCTTTGAGAAGAAACATTTTTAATAATCAAATCAGAAGTTTGGTTAAGCCAATTGAGTATTTGATTCTTTTGTTGAAATCATTGTTTCTATTTTTTGAGAAGTTAAATTGGTTTTAAAAGTGTTTCAATCATATAAAGCATTGAAGCATCTAGATTCAGTCTTTAGAATTGGAAAGAAAATTAATATCAGTATTAAAATTCGAATCTGATGAGCATTCTTGTTGAAAGATCATTTGAGTAAAATGTGACTAAACAAAAACATTTGTAAAATATTGACCCATTTATCCACTTAACTTGTGACAACTTGGATTAATGCAATTCGTTGGAATTATCGTTAATTTAATTCAAGACAAACCCAAAATCCAGAAACTATCTGTAAAGAACACGTTTACTTAATTAACTTATGAGATTATTGGAGTTAAGACGCAAAATCAAACTGTAAGGCACACAACTTATGTTCAGATTTACAATCAATTAATCAATTGCCTCACTGGAATAAATACAAAAAGTTCAACTCTCAACTCTCAACTTGAAATTTATTGAAGTTAACTTTTTTATGGGTTTATCTGAAGCAGAATGTTCATTTTCATTTTGATGCACCTTGAATGGTTAATCAAACAGATTCAAGAGTTGCTCCAAAAGCTAAACCAAAGGTGAATTCAAATTCAGGTTAATCATTGTCTGGTTAAACGTCCAAAACATAACTTATTGTGAAAAATTGCCTTTCATCGGAAACATTTGTGAATATTTTTCAAAAGTTTTTGGCAAAACTGAACGCAAAAGTGAAACAAGTTCATTGAATGTCTAACCAGAATTTTCCTTAAACTTTTCATGGATAAACAACTCAAATTGCAGTTAAAAACCAAAGTCATTAGATGATTGAAAAATGAGTTCAAATTTCACTTTTCATTCCTTTTCTCAATCAGATCAAATTAACAGTCTAATTTTTTAAATTGCAACTAACCGAGAATCAAATGATAAATAGTTGGATCGATAATCAAATTAATGGCAAAACCGCACATAGAAAATTAATCGACGAAAAAAGTAATTCAATCGATTGAACAATCCAAAGCAACTAAAAGCATTTCAATATTGACTAACCAGAAAATTAATTAAATCATCATTAACCATTTGACACAAAAATATGGTTCGATTTTGCCTTTTTTTGTAGTTTCCAAGATTGGGAAACAGGAATATTGAAGAGTTTATTTTCTGCAAGTTTCATGGTGAAGGATATTCATCATGTAAATGATATCAACATTCAGATTAACACTTTGTTTTTCTTTATCGATTGATCTTTTCAATAACCTTTTTATTGGGTTAACCCAAAGAATTGATTTGCTTACCATTTGTAGGGAAGGAAAGCGATGGAACCTGAAAAATCGGAATATAATGAAATAATCAATTGAATGAAACTGATAATGCAAGTTTAAATGAGAAAATGAGATTTCTCTGTGATTCCGATTCTCTTTTCACTTTTACTTCTCACATTTTGTCAACTCTTCTTGTTGCTCCGGTTAATGTTTAAACACTAATAGTGGTTAGAGTATCAAATTATTCATGATAATAACATTATGAAGAGAATGAACAAGAAAAGGATTTCAATGTTGATATTAGAAGATTATTCGATGGTGGAACATGGAACACAAAAAATCAACAAACCGGTTATAGAATTATTCAGTTTATCGTTATTCTGCTGCAAAATGTTGAGGGAAACATTTGATAATGGCATTGATAGGAAGGAAGGAAATATGAACAAGAATAGTGATTAAAGAATTGGATTAATTTTTGCTCACAAAATTGCCCATCATGAATGGTTGACGGAATTTTTCGCCAAGAAATTACTTTTTCTTCCTTTATAATCAACTTTCAGATTAACAGGGAAAATACATTGTAAAAGTGTTTCATTATTTTCACTTTTTTGTCATATTTTATCGCTAATAAAGTTTCCCTTTCAATCAAATTATCTGATTGGATAGAAATTTTCAAATTAAATTTTGTTTAAAAAATTCTGAATTCAATCTCAACAGTATCGCTGTTCATGTTATTGAAATTTAATTTGTGAAAAAAGTGAAAATTGAAGAGCAAATGAAATCAATTGAATTTCAAGTGTTGACATGATTTCAGTCTAGACATTTGAGAAAATTCTGGACATTAAATTTTTCTCTTTAGGTGAATATTAACTATTAATATTGACAGCTTCAGCTTTACATGAAGTTCATGTTTAGATTGATGGAAAGTCAGGAATAAAGTTATTTGTCGAGAAAAGTGTTGAACTTTTTTTTCGCTATCGAAACAGTGTTCGCTTTTGATTACTCGTTTGATGAACAAATAGTGGGAATTGATTAATTGATTTGCCTTCGGCTGGAAAAATGTAATTAAATGTAATTAATTTATTTTTTCTGTTGCTCTTCAAGGGATGAAATTGTTGAAAGGTGTTAAAGGTTACAATTGTACAAATTGTATTATGAGAAACGTCAACAGTCATTTCAAGTGTAATTGTTGAATGATTCAAAGATCTTAATTTTTTCATGTTTTCAGTTTGAATAAAAATCTGAACAAAAAAAGTTGAAGGCATTGAATTGATGGAAAGGTTTTTCTGTGAAAAATTCTGGTTTTAAATTTGGTCAAATTCGGAAATGAATAACCTCTTACCTGATAGAAATAGTAAACTTGAAAATCTTTTTCAGTTTCATTGAAGGTAAACTCGATGGAACCGTTAGTCGACCAGTCGGCTGTACCGTTTAATAGCAATTTTGAAGAGTGTTGACTTGGTTGAAATGAATGTGGTGAAGGTGATGAACGTTGGTGATGAAGTGAATTAAAGTCAACAATTTGATCATTGAACCGATAAACTATGTCCACTGGTGAGGTTGACTGTAGATCAGTTGATGGAAAGGATGGAAACGTTGTATTGAACATTGTCATTGATCAATTGAAACAAAAATCTTGTTTTACTTTTCCCTCTCTTTTGTTGCCTTTTCAACTTTTGGTAAGTTTTTCAATCGTTTTTTACCTCAAAAATATTTCACTTTACCCTGTGAATTGGTCCATTTGGTTTTGGGTTTCAATTTTTTCAGAGCAAAATACACCTTCTATTGTTATTTAAGAACTATTTTGACTTGTCAACCAAAGATTCACCTTTTTGAAACTCAAGTTTAACTCAACTTGAGGTTCAACTTTACACTGTTTTAAAAGTTTCACTTTTAACCAATTTATTGAAACATTGAAAGTAAATTTGACTGTTAATCACAATACATTGGATAGGAAACTAGGATTAATTGAAACGATTTGGAGATTCTGTTGAGCATCAATTGATGAACATTATCAAGTTGATTGGTTAAAGACTTTAGTGATGGACTTACAATTAGATAACTGTGATTTGGGATTTTGGCTTAGAGGGCTTTTCTCTCGGCTTGTCTTACAAGGAAAAATGTTTTCAAAGTAACTTGCAACTTTAAAATGATTGGGAAAACAATAAGTCACCATGAAGATGGTGATGATCAAGATGAAGATGAGTGAGTAAAGGGTGAGTGAGATGAATAGAGTGGGAATGTGCTTACAACGCAAGCCAATTTCATCTTTCAAGGCTTTTATTTTTCTCTTCTTCATCATCATTTTCATCATCAACTTCCCCTGATTTTTTTGCTTCATTTGGACGCACTTTTTTCCAATCTTTTCAAAACTCTCTTTTATTGTAATCATTGTAATCTACTCTGATTTTCTCGTTTCTTTTTTCACTTTATACCAATCTTCTTATTACGATCTACTGTTTTATTATTTAATCATACTTTTGTGAAACATAATATCACAAATTAATCATCTTTAACCATATTTAATAATCTTTAATCATCTTAAAATGAATATCAAAAGTTATTGTAATTTGCGATGACATTTTATATTGCTTTTTGCATAAGCTTTTAATGTACATAATGGGTTGATACAAAGATGCATTCACAAACAAATCTATGAGGTTATTAATTTACTCATATGGGTTCGATAACGATCTGGATTGTCCATTATATCGAGAAATGGTTCAAATTTATTTGCTATGCTACAAGTGACATCTGTTGTCATCAAATTTTACTTTGCTGATTTTTAGTTGAATTGAATGAAATCAGCATGAAGTCTAGAAACGATATACGATTCACAAGTTTTTATGTGATTTAAAATTTCAACGCATTTTGACATATAAAAGTATAGGATTCAAAATTCTGTTTTTTGGTGCTAACTTTTTTATCTGTTCATAAGAAATTCGAAATCACGGAGAAAATACCTTATACTGAAAATCTCGGTTTCAGATTAAATCACCAATTTGCAATTTTCAATGCATTTCCTATGGAGACAATTTTTCTCAATTAATCTCACTTGATCTCAATTAATTAATCAATGTACAATAACTATGAGTGTCACATTTTATCAACATGATCTATTTTGTTCACATTCACTGACCTGCTTAACAAACACGTATTTTCGAGTATGGTAAATAATAATGACAGCATTTGCAAACTGAAAAAGCTCAAAAAAGGGGAAAACTGATTATAATTGTCAAAAGTAAAGACTTATGGATGTTAATTTTAAAAGAATTGGTAATCAACTCTTGTTAATCAATAAAGGCGAAACATTGGCAACATTGAAATGTATTATTGATGAAAATTATTAAAACAAAAACATTAATTGTGCAACCTAACGATTTCTGTTGAATATTTCAATTGTACATGAATAGTCGACACTGTTTTCGTTTTGTTTGTTACACATTATTTTCGTTGGTCTTGTATTTTTCAATTGCACATAGAGATTGTATAATAATAATTATAAGTTGTATTAATAATAGCATAATAAGTCTAATGATAATCATAATTTTTTACAACGATATGTTTAGCTTTTCACATTTTCGTAAGCTTTTTCAACAAATTTATATATTACAAATTATATGAGTGAATTAGTGGTTATATACAATGGCGAATATACCCGGTGTATTTGAATCACTTATTATTGTGCTTTTCCTTTTGCTTTATCCAACTCTCTGCCTTTGTCCAATAACAATTGTCAGATCGAAGGATGTCAATTACAATTGTAATCACAGTGAGAAAAATTCGTGGTCTCAAGTTCGTTTGTCAAATGTATCGATTTTAACTTTTTCATCTTGTCAAGCAAAGAGTTTGTTGATGAATTTGAAACAACGGAAGAGATTTTGTGGGTTTTGCTGCAATCATTTAGTATCATCCTTCAGTCGATTTGGTTCAAACTGAAACAGGTCAATAATTAATATATTTATATATTTTTATAAGTAAAAAACTTTGGAAAATTTGGAAATTAAAAAACAAAATCAACAGATCCAGTCAGCTCTTTGATATTAACTTGTCATCATATTAAAATGCAACAGAAAATGTAAGCACTCAGAAATCTGGTTTCTGGTTTATTTGTGCTCTGTGTGTCCGCTTCAATTCATGCTTCATGTCCAAAGGTTAGTACCAATATAATGAAGCAGATTGTAGTAAATTGTAAGTAAACTGTTGACGAGAGTTGAAAGGCTTATTGGAAAAGCTCGTAATGTATTTAGTTGAATTACTTTTTGTTTGCAAAATTATCATCATTGTTGTCATTGTTGGTGCCCAATTTGTTTACCATTGATTATCGTAAAGACAGTCATGAATATGATCTTTGTCATGTCAGTTTTTGATGAAATTTGTCTTGCTTTACTAATTTCAGCTGATTTAACAAGAAACCATCAAAATGTGTTGATTGATTCACACAAGTGGCATGATCGTCAAAACATTCATTCAATCATTTCTATAGATTACCATCTAAATGGATCGTCATTCCTTGTTTTTTCAGTTTCTTGGACCAGTTTCCATTCTTTACATTTATTTCCTTTCGACGGTGACTTTTTCCCAATCCAAACCGAATACGAATCAAGATTATACTGTCGATTTTGGTTTGCATTAATTGTTAATCTTGTTGGCTTGCAATCGTTGGATTGTCATCTTAATACTGTTGACTAAAGTATGGCTTTGGCTTGTTTATCCTTTCAATATTTATCCTTTTAGATCAGTAATTATTACTTTGACCTCTTAATCCAATATACGTCGTTTATTGCACATAAAATAGGTACTTTTTCATCTGTGCTTAACTCGTTAATCATTTGCTTCCAGCTTTTTCAGCCTTGTCCCTTTCCTCAGGTATATTGACTCGTCTTGGCGTTGATAGTATGGATAGTGAGAATGGTTTTAATTATTTTTTGGTTGTCGATGATATTCCCACATTGAAAGCAAGTTCAACCTTAGGCATTGTAATTTATTAACGTTAACTAATGGAATTGGTGGTTTTCGCTGTACTTGGTTCTTTGTTGCTATTGTTTACTCCAGTCTGTGATCCTTCATCAATTTGAGCATTACTCTTTGAAATGTGAACATTTTTTCTTTTATTCTTGTTGCTTCGAAAAAATTGGAAACATCCTTTTGGCTCATCGACTGGCGGACAATCAAAATTGAGATCATCAGGTAATGTAAAGTTTGGTCCAAAAACATTTAACTCTTTAAAACAATCAGTTTCAATCATTTCATTTTGCCATGGAATGGAAACACTTCCAGTATTAAATTTACTGTAAAATGAATCATCACTAGCATCTAAATTGACTCCTTTAACCGTTGAAAATTGTTCAATATCAAGAACATCCTTGGCATAAACAGCATGAGGCTAAAGTAAGAGAAAAGATGATGATGATAATGATGACGATGTTAGTTGGAATGGAAAGAAAGGAAGAGAAGAAATAAAAACAAATTAGTCTGGTACAGTTTTTGTTCAGATGCAAAGTGAATGAGCTCAATTTACTGTAGTCAGCCTTACAGACTGTTCAACAGTAGAAAAAAAAAGAGTCTTCTCACAATCAATTCTGATCATTATTGTCAATATAACAGAAGAATTCTTACATCCGGAATGAAGGGTGGCTGAAGCATTCCAGCTTCTAAACGTTTCCAATTAACTGTCTTGAAAAACCGATGAGCTTTAACTTCCGAGGCTCCTTTACGACCGAGTTTACAGCCTAAACGATCAGAGACTTTCTTTGAGAGTAACTGTAGAAATGTAAAAACAAATAAATGAAACATTAGTAAGTTATTAAAATAAATAAAAACATGTAAAGATGAAGATGCAGATGGAAAGGAAGCAAATGAGAAAAGTGAAAAATGAAAATGTAAATTGCTGGAAATGAACAAATGCCAATCTTACCAATGTACATATTGCTTTGGTATCTTCACTAAATTTATTTGAATAACTTTCAACATCATTTTTGACTCGACGTTCAACCTCTTCCCGTTTGACCTTTTCCTTTCGAGCTCTAAACGGAGCTTGACCCTCGATCATCTCATATAAAAGGCATCCCAAGCTAAACCAGTCTGGACTGAAGGCATATTTATCGTTTTCAATCACTTCAGGAGCTGATAAGAATAGGAAAAAAATAGATAGAGAAAAAATATGTCAATGAAAACAAATCAAATGATTGTAGGCTAGTAATTAAGAGTAGTGGCAATAAGTTAATTACTGGTAAATGATTTAATTGACGATTCTTAGAGTTATAAATGTTGTAAATGTAAATATTGATACAATTAGTTTTTGTGGTTTTGTTTGATAAAGCAACTGAATCGATTCTAATGGAAACTAAATAGGAAAAAATGGAAAGTTGATTGTCTGCAAAATTGAAATGAAAGATTGACAATTTAATAAGTCCTGTTTAAACATGTAATTGTAAAAGCTTTTACTCTAATTGAATTCAATGTTTAAATATATTATTTTGCTTCGTCTTCTTTACTAGATTAAATGTAAACTTGATTATAGTTTGAGAAAATTTTCTGCCAAAGTGTAGATTAATGGATGAAATTGTAAATCAAAATTTGTGAATAAATGAAATGATCAACTGTAAAGTTTCCTTTTTAAATTTGTGCAAAGTAAAGAAAAGGTGGTGAAAAATATATATTAAAGTATTGAATAGAAGAGTAAAATAGATTGAAAAGGAGAAAATGAATTTCTGAATTTCTCTCGAGTTATTCCAATAGTGTTGCTTTTTAAATTCAATTTCAAAAAATTTCCTCGGAGCTTTCAATGGATAAGGATGAATGTAGCTGTTTTTTTTTCTGAAAAAATCAGTTACTAAACTTGTGAAAATGATGGAATCATAAATAAAGTGGAAAAGGAGAGAGAAAAGAGAAATAACTGAAAATGAAATCTCATATGTTCAGAGGAGAGTTTCTCACATGATAGGGATAAATGTAGACAAGAAATTTTCTTGTTTGAAGAGGTAAAATTGGAAAAGTGTGACAAAATAAAGAGGAGATGCGAAAAGAAAGAAGTATTGGAAGGTAAGTGAGATGATGATGATGATGAAAACATCAATAGACAAATAAATAGACAAATAATCAGAGAGAACAAGAAATGGTAACAGGAAGCTTCCATGATTACATTGCTCATGACTGTTTCTAATATGCAAGTGGCTGAACCATTACTACCTGTTCATAGAGTTAAAGTAGGTAAAGGTAACTGAAAAATGTTACAAGAATCTGACAAGAAAAAATGAACAGAATGAGAACAAAAAAGAAGAGTGAAAATGTAGAGTCAAACTAGAAGGGAAAATTGGCTCAAATTGGATTGAAATTATTTTGTTATCTGACAAATTTTTTGCACAAAATTGGGCAAAGTCAACATGACAAGTTGTAATCTTGATGGAAACTTCAACTGATTGTTAGTTATGCCTTTAATAGCTGTTCCGCCTGTTTCCAATAAACACCCGTGAAACCATTGACTATCCTTTAACCAATTTAGTCAATGTTCATCAACAACAATCCATTGAACATACCCATGTAACCCACTGTACCAACTCTTCCTCGAACCATTTCACCTTCTGGTATTTCCATAGCTAACCCAAGATCGGAGATTCTTACGTGACCTTAACGTGAAAAAGAAAAGGGAAAAAATATTAATATCCAGAGTAAAATACATTAATCACAATGTAAAAAGTGAAACAAGTGAACTTTGAAAGAAAAGATGAAATTAAAATGAGGTGAAAAGAAGAAAAATTATGGAAATGATGATAAAGAGAAAGAAAAATCAAGATTAATAAGCTTTTGTTTAGAGTCAACAAAAAGTCAATTTTGTTTCTTCATCATCATAACTTGATTCTGGTCTTTTCACAATTTTTTTCAAATTTTCATCTTTTCCCTTGTTCACTTTGTTTGCCTTCATTGGATCCATACCATGATCATCTAAAAGTATATTTTCTGGCTTGAGATCTCGGTAAACAATCCCTTGAGAGTGAAGATGATCCAATCCTTGTGTCACCTCGGCTGTGTAGAAACGAGCTCGGTCCAGGTCAAAGCCAGGTTCACCTCCCATGTTGTAGATATGAAATTTAAGGTCACCACCATTCATCAGAGTTAATACTAAACAAAGAGCATCCTTAGTCTCATAGGCATAGGCTAGACTAACCACAAACCGTGAATTTATCTTTTGTAAAATTTGCTTCTCAATGAGAACCATTGATTCTCCTTTGCGTTTCTTGATTCGCTTTTTTTCCAACTTTTTACAAGCATACATTTTACCCGTGGCTCGAACTTGACACGCACAAACTTCACCAAACCCTCCTTTACCAAGAACTCTGTACATTCGAAAGGTATCCTTTGTCACGGGCAACTTTTCCAGCCATTTCCATTGAAGGTAACGGTGAAAAAACATGCTACCTTCAAATTCCTTGAATGGATTGGTTGATAAAAATAATTTAACATCTCTGGTTCATTTGAAAATAATGATTGAATCGAGACCAAAAGAGTATGCGATAGCAAAGCCAGTAATCATGATAATCATCACCGTCATCCAATTACACATCCAGCATCAACATGTTAACCAAAAAAGTGCAAAGTAATTAGTCAATATCAATGGTTGATATGCATTTGATACAATGAAATGAATGTTCATTGTCAAGGAAAAAAAGAGTTCAGCAACAACAGCAAAGACAAAATAATGGCATTGGATGAAACATGATTCATGTTTTGGTTTTGACATAAATTTGTAAAATATTTCATGATTTATTGTTATCACCACCAGTTGAAAAGCATCCATAATTTTAATTTCATTTGTTTTTGCCAGAAGTAAATGTTGGTTGAATGTTGATGGTGTATGAAGTGTGAAATGGTGAAAAAGATGAATATAAGAAGAAGAAGAGAAAAAAAAGAAAGAAAACAATGAATTAGTTTCAAGGGTAAAATGAAAAGCAAAAAGATTAAAAATTGAGAGGAAATTTATGAAAAATGATAATGACTATTTGTTTCTGGTGACTATAATTAAACTAGATGATGATAATGTAATAATGGGTGAAAAGTACGAAAACAGAGAAAAATATTAAATTAAATGTTAGCTTCATGGTTGTATAATGAATTTGATTCATGAGTAAGGTGGGGTTGTAACCTTGTCTCAAGTAATTGTAGAAACAAAATGTAATTAAATGACATCAATAACATTAATTAATATCAATCAACTTGAAAAAGCTATTTGATGATTGAATCTGACTGAGAGAGAGAAAGGAAAACAGTAAAATGGAGAAAAAAAGTGAAGAGTGAAATTCCGAGATGAGTTTCTGATGAGCTGAGTGATGGAATGGAAAGGGAATCAAAATGATCATTTACAGGGCACTGTCCAGGAAAAGGTCTTTTGAGGCCAAATCTAGGTTTTGCTTGCATTTATTGCGACTCTCTTCTTTTACAACATCCACAAATTGATTTGATTCACAATTAAGATATTTATCAGCAATCTCTTTGGCCACTGAGCTTCGATCTTCATCCCATTGGAGTTCATAGTTTTCCTGAAAAAGTAGGAAGACAAAGAGAAATGTTAAAACGAGGAAACAATGGAAGCAACAATAAGATGATAATGGTGATGATGAAAAGTAAGTCAAGATTGTGTTCATTGATGTTATTGTAATGCAAATAATGGAGTGAACAGACACACAGTCAACCAGCTAATCTGAGTGAAATGAACATTTTTATGTGTTCATTAGCGGACCTTTTACTTACGAAATAAAACTAACATGGTAATAATAGGATGAAATAATAATAATTAGAAATGAAGAACAAGAAAAAACCTGAGAGGTTTAATTGGGTTAATGATAGGAAAGTTGGAAACAAAGCAACTTCCAATAATTATGATTTACGGTATAAACGGGTAAAATGGGTAAAAAGCAATTTACAGGAAGTTATTCAACATTTTACAATTTGATATTAAATTGTAAAATGAATAACAGAAAGTCAATCATAACTAATTTGCCTTTTTTTTGCAACTAATCAACTTTAAGTTAACCCTTTTGCTGCTTGCTTTTTTAAACATCAAATTGTCCTTAACAAGCAAAATATGAATAAATTTAAAGTTGATTTGGATGAAATAAATTTACTCCACTTTTTTCGTCATTTTTACCAAGTTAAACTTTGACATTACTGGTAATATTGGGATGAAGCAAATGTAATAAAACTGTATTTGTTGTTGTTTTTTTTTGCTGCTTTCAAGTTAAACGAGTAAAGGATGAAACAAAATAAGTCGAGTTGAACTGTTTTTTTGTGTTCGACTAAGTTGTTCGAGTTTAATGGTACAATCTTAATCTGAGAGGAACATTTGAAGAGTTTAAAACTGAAAGGACAAAGAGTCGAGTTAACAATTTGACTTGAATGAAAAGTGAAAAGGTTTGAAAGAAAAGGTTTTATATTGAAAAAATGTGAATCAAATTAATATCAATAAGATTCATTGAAAGGTAAGTGGTAAGTGATATTAGTTTAAAATTTGCATCATTTTTTTCATGATTGATGGTTGGTTTCATAATGAAATGTCATTATCATTTTGAGCAACCTTTTCATGGAAAATTTTATTCCACTGAATAAATGTATCAAAAGATGTTGGCTTCAACTGAATGTTGTAAAAATTGGTAAAAGTGATTTCTGGTTAAGTAATTTTGTCAATTGAAAAAGATTGTTATCAATTTATAAATTCAACTTAAGGATAAAACTATTATTAGTGTGAAAATTGTTCATCATGAGCAAGATCATCAGGGAAAAGCTGAGATTTTTTCGTTGAATGTAAAGAATCGCGAAAAGGTTCATTTACTAATAAAGTTGTAAGAGTAGAAAAAATTGATTTGACATTTCAATGTAATTATCGTAATTTAAATATTGTAATCAGAATATCATTAAGAGAAGACTTCTCGATAATAGGAACATGAGTGAAAATATTCTTAGTTTTTGGTCTTTTGTTTCTTCACCAAGAAAAGTTGAAAGATAAATGATAAGGTTTGAGGTAAACATTTTGGAGATGAAATAAAAGATATGAAATGATCATGAATAGTAATGATTGTATTATGATGAGCAGGGGAAAGAAAAAGGTTTATCTAACTTTGGAAAAAGTATTTCATGTATTTCCATGTGAACAAAATGAAGTCTCATTTTGTCATCTGAAAATTGAGTTAAAATAGATATTTATATACATTTATAAAAGCAGGATAACAATAGTCGACTGGACTTGAACTGATACTTTTATAAATGCAGAGTAAATCATGGATAAAAATTGAGTTGGACAAAAAAAAGGTAATTGACCAGAAAAATATTGTTCAACTGGACAACAATATTGAAGTAAAATTAATCAATGGATGGTGAAAAGGAAAAGAAGAGAAAATTGTGAAAGAAAAACAGAGAATGATGAAAAAAAGAGTAAAAGATGAAGATGATTGTGATAATTTGAAATGAAGTGATACACCAATCAATAAGTAATCATAGTTATTGATCAGTTTCTTTGGCTTGTTTCAAATGGATTTGGAAAGTTGATCTGAAAGTGTGGTTACAATTGATTTTTTTTGGCCAACAAAGGCTATCTATTACTGAACGTTTAGTTTTGATTTGAAAGATGATCTCAATTGTGATTGAGGCTTTTTTGTGTTATCTTTCAAACAATTTGAATTGATGATTGAAATTAATGAAGGAGAGTGTGAAATTAGATAATGGTGAAAAATGATTAATGGAATGTGTTCAGTGTTAAGTGAATGTCATTGAATGTCTATTAAAACTGTTATAACTGTATTTATCTGTAACTTATTAATAGAACCAATTTATACATTAAAATAGTAATCAAACAGATTATCGTATATTATTTATGAAATACCGGATTTAGATTATCAAGTGTGCCGTAGATTAATTGTTATGCAAGTCGCTAATTGTTTGTTGCTTTTTATCATGTTTTGTTGTTCACTCGTCAAAACGTTATCACCTGTAAATGGATATGAATAATTTCATGGCAACTGAATGATCAACAGAATCGGCTGAAATGTTAATTAAACTGTTAAGAAATGGTTGAACCTTGAGAGACAATGAGATTAAAAGGTGAGATTTCAAGGTTTAGATTACTTAATGAATCATTTATGAATATTATCATGTTAAAAGCATCATCATTAAGCATCTTAATCTTGTCATGAAAGATATTGAGAGTATAATTGATGGCTTTCAGGTATTGATATGAACCAGCAAATGGATCAACACTTTTTTGTTCACTCTCTTCATGGATACAATAAATGAGATTAGATGAGTCGAGATAAAAGATAAAGTCAAATATTGAAATGTTTCATGTTTGAAAGTTTAAAGTATGTTAACATGTAAAACTCATTATGAATCTGCCAGTGATTATTCAGAGTTTAGTAATTTTCAAGATTCGAGTTTGAAATTAGCTAAAATTAGTTTATGTTCAGAGTAGGAAAGTGATGGAATGTAATGAAAAATCAAATTTCCATGTAACTGCAAATTCAATAAAAGTTTGAAAATTATGGCGAGATAATTAGATGAATAAAGGTGAATATGAAATAAAGCAATTTTGGGTTTGCGTGAAGTTGAGCTTCTCTGATCATTTCAAGAATTTTGGTGAAAAATTTATTGCAAAATAAATATGAATTTACTTGCAATGGATTATCAATTTAAAAGTTTACATTCAATTTGATGGCAATTTACGGATCAACGGTAAGAAGTTGTCTGAGTTTATCTCATGGAGTTTTTCATGACTCCTTTGAGAATTGGAATTTAAATGTGATTATTGGTTCATTCGTTTTCTAACAGTTTCCATCGTAAATCGACAGGAACTACAGAAGATTTCAATTTTATCGGAAACTTGATATTGGTTTACTTTTGATTCGCTTCTTTAGTCTTGCAATTGTTAAGCTTTTGTGCGATTATTTCTGATCAATATTTAGCATTCTTCTGATTTTCATAAAATCACAATTGAAACGATCATTTCCTGAGTTTAACTTAGAGTTTGAAAATTTTCAAAACAAAAATATATTGGAAAAGTAATTCAACAAGAAAATCAACTGTAAATTTAGCAATCAACTTACGAGTTAATTTTGTTCAAATGAATTAGTCTATTTAATTGACGTGAAAGGTTTTAAAACAAACATTGGCACTTATCGAGTCAACTGAATTAGCCACTTAAGTTGAGTTGAAACTAAGATACAGTTAAAGGCATGTTTAATGAAATATTTGCTCAATCTCATGATTTATGACAAAAGCAAAACAGGAAAAAGGATAACCTGAGATTGAGAGAAAGAGAAGAAGAAGAAAAAGTTCATGAGCTTCAGGAGTTGTTCATCTTTGGATGATGATTGAAGCAATTTATAATGAAGCCGCAAACCAATAATTGGTATTAATTGAAAGGCAAATTATACGTGAAATCAATTGAAGGGTAAAAAAAGTACAAAAGCTCGAAAAAAATATGTAACTATGCTTGGATTGCTATTTTATGTACCATTCAACAATGTTGGTTGAAAGACGATGAAAGATTTATGGACGAGTTAATTCAACATTTCAATTGTAAGGTTGATGAAAGAAGCTGATGGCACAAAAAAGCATGTAAACATTGAACAGAGAAAAGGGGAGAAGAAGAAAAAAAAAGTTAAATCAGGGTGAACCAGAATTTGCTGACAGAGGAAATCACAAGAGAAAGTTAAGATTAAACAGTAAATCAGGTTTTTGATATAAAACAATGAGTAGAGACAAAATGAAGGTTTGCAGGATGATGAAGGGATGAATATCATTGAGGTATTCAAGAGTTTCAAAGGATTGGGTTAATACACACAGAATCAATATTTTGTTTGCCTGTGAGCCTACCATTGAACCTGTTAGAGCTGCAATGTTTTGTATTAACCTGTCTCTTGGTCTTTCCTTTTTTTCCCTCTCTTTTCCATCATGAAACTACCTTCACCTATTCACTATTCATGTTGTTTAATATCTTTCTTTCCATTTTTTTCTCATTGGTTATCATCATGACAGTAGATCGATAGGGAAGGAAGCAATAGATGATCGGTTCAAGTTGAATATCAGAGTTTCTCCGGGAAAAAAAAGAGAAGACTGAAAGAAGAAAATATAAGATTGAACATGAAGAATGGTTCAGACAATTCTTAGATTCACATCATGAGTAAATAAAGAGGAATAAATGAAAGAAGGGAAAGAGAACAAAAAAAGAGATGAGAAAAACGAGGAAAGAAAATCTTAATTTCGCATTATCATTTTGTTATTCTCATTATCATCAATCGTTTTTATTGACTCCATGATGACAATAAAGATTCAGAGTGAAGGCAAGAGAACAGATAACACAAGATTAAGATTAAAAGTAATTATGAATTCACTGAATAAATAAATGAAGATGAGAAAGGAAAGGGAAGGAAGAAGATGATCAGAAGAAGAAAGAAGAAAAATAAGGAAAAGAATTGACAAAAAATGGAAACTGAATACTGACAAAATTTGTTGCTATCAATACAGTTACGAATTGTGAATAATCGCAAATTGATGTTGAACGAACAAAAAGAATTCGAGAAAAAAACAAAATTAAAATCATTTTCATTCAGAAACTCAAGTTTCCACTGATGACAATTTATGCAAAATTGTGTCAACATTGGACAATTTGTAAGTAAAGTGTTAAAAAGGTAAAAGTAAAATGGAAAAGCAATGAAAAAAATAATCTAAAAAATGACATTCTTTGGCAAACTGTTAATCCATTTGTAGGATTGACTTGATCTGTCGAGAATGGTTAATCTAATGTTGAACAATCTATGTTAAGTGACTGAAGATTAGGATATGAACAGTTATGATGTTACCTTGCAATTGGAATAAAGTTTTGACATTAAAATGAGAAAATCCCAGTGATTAAGGATTGATTAAGGAATGGTGAAGGGGAAAGATGGTTGATTAATGGAAGGGAAAAAAGTGATTTAACGTGAAAATAACATTGACCCAATCATGTTGATACTATTTTCAATTTCATTACATCAAACTCAACTTATAACTGCCTTTAAATATAATAACAATAAAAAAAGGAAAAAGTTTATTACGTCAATACGTAAAGGTAAGTATAACATTTTATATTAGAGAAGGTAATAGAATGATTGTTTTCATCTTCTCTCTCTTTTTTCATCATTATCATTATCATCATCATGTCATTATTTGGGTAAAACATGTTTCTATCCTTCGAATGAGAGAGAAATTTGGAAACGAATTTCAATGTATTTCAATGTTGGTGGATGATAATGATGATAAGAAGAGCAAAAATTCAATTTGATTCTGTTGTTTGCATTCATTTAACTGTACCAGAAATGATGAAGATGAAAAAAACTGAAAACTTGTCAAAGCAAATTGATCTTAAAGTGCAAACCTGACAACAAAAAAAGGCAAATGATGACATTTTTTGCCACTTTTCTTGTCTCTTGTTTACTTGTTAACTTGTGTGCTTATTTGACAGATGAAGATATGCAAAGAAGACAAAAGGTGATAAAGAAAAGAAGAAAAAGAAAAGAATTTTTTGTGTCAAATTTCAATGGAAACATGCGATTATCGTTTGACCAGAAGGTTATTTGCATAAGGCAATAACTTGCAAGGCGATGGTGAGAAAAGATTGTCATTTCAATATTGAAAAATTCATTGAATATGATATGATGATAATGTTGGTGGTGAAAATATTGGTATAAGGTGGGAAAAAAGACAGAATTGCATTTGAATGGAAAAGAGATTGAAAAGTAAAATGAAAGCTAAAAGTGGGTTAAAAAAAGGAAAGATGAAAAGTATTGGATGAGAAAAGGAAAATTGATCGAATTTCTTTGAAACTTTCTTCTTCTTCTTCTTATCATTATTATTTTTCATCAACATCATTGACAATCATCGTTAAACCGACGTCAAGTAATCATCAAGTGAATGGGAAAAGATGAGAATGAAAAGTTTACAAAAGACGTATTATATCTCGTTAACGTTGAACCGTTTAATATTGTTTGTCAATTCACAATAAATCATCATCTTCATCCCCTTATCATCATCATTGGGCATTACTTAATTATATCATCTTTTTTTCCTTCTTCTTCATTCCTATTATCAATAATCATTTCATTGGTAGATTCACATTCCATGGTGAAAATAGTGAAATGTTGAGAATAGTCAATAATAGTAATGAAAAGGACAAAATTGATCAACCTGAAAAATCCAACTCTGTATCTGTCTTATTGGAAAAGGCAGCAAAAAATGAAAAGAGATCAACTTTTATCTAGAAGCGTTTCAATAAATAATTGTGTCAGGAGAAGAAAAAAGTTTATCAATTCATTAGAAGATTGTTTCCATTACTTCCTCAATAATCAAGTAAAACTAACCATGGAAGGCAAAAGGCTTTAATCATTAATCAGTCACCAGAATTGTGAGTTAACCAAAGTCAAAGACCATTCAAATGAAATATCATTATGTTATGAGATATGCAATCAACGAAAAAGATATGAGAGAGAAAAATGAAAACAAAGTTTTGCTTTGGGAAACGCATTAATTTTTTTGAAAGCTTTTCAATTTTCAAGATGATTCAATGGTGATTATTTTAAGAATCACCCAATGATTGAATTTTGGGGAAAGTAGATGAAAGTCAACAATGAGTTCAACTTAATCAGGCAAAGAGTGTAAATATACAAATAATGTATATTTGTTGATAAATGTTCAATGTTTTCATCATTTTTGTTTTTTCCTGCTTCTACTTTCAACCATCAACATTGAAATGGCTGATGAAGGTGTGAAGATATATTTAAATGTGAAATTCAAATTGCAATGTTTATAACATTTTAGGTTAGCTGTTTAACAAACTGTGTTGATGTTGTTAGTAGAGCAAAAAAAAAACAATAACAACAAACGACTAACAAGCAAATGTAGCCATTGGTAATTGAATTAAGTTGTACTGAGAGAAGAAGTCATTTTCATAATGAATTATAACATGAAATTTGTATATCAAGAGCAAAAAATTAGATGAATATTGAATGGGTAAAGCTGGTGTAAAGACATCAACAACAAGTTATCATTTGAATGAGCTGTTGGAAGCAAAAAAATGTGTAACTGTAATAGCAATATGAGATCAATTGGTTAAACAAATTTTTAGCTTCTAAAATTTCCTTTTCTCATGTTTTTCCCTACTAATTCATTATTATCTGGGATAGCTTTTCATCTTCAGCATCAGATTATGTGTTCTTGCATTGATAAATATCAGTTTATACAATACATGAAACAAAAACTGAGTTTGGCACCAAAATTTTATTTACTTTACGCAAGTGTCTCAACTTGATAATTCAAGTTTTATCAGTTGTTACACTTTTTTTGTAATCATTTGTTGACCGAGCTATCAATACTTTCAATGAGTTACTTTCATCAATATCGTTTTCCCATAATGATTAGAACCAGATTTTTAGAAACCTTTATAAGAGTAAAAAAATTGGTGCCGAACTCATCAATGGTAAATCGGGGAATATCGTTACGTACAACAGCGTCCAGAAAATTGTTGCATTTACTGTACAATTCCTTGGTATGGCAATATAGTCTAAAAAGTAACTGTCCTATTGGTTGCTGTTCCACTATATAATTGTATGAAACGTCTAAATTAGAGAAAAAAAGGAAAAAAAGAGAAGAGAAAATGATCAAAATTAGAAATTGAGATTTGATAATGAATATGGATTAGACTTTGAGCGAAAAAAACTCTCAAAGATTTCACATTAAGATAGAAAAGAGAAATAAATATGAGAATATGTTAATTACCAACTTGATCTTTCAAATGAATACATTGAGAAATGTGTGGAAAACGAAGTAATTTTTGCCATTTTTTGCTTTTACCCTTGTTACAATCTGGATGTGTGTTGACAGTCAATCAGACAAAAAAGAGAAAACAAAAAAACATAGAAAACAAATGACATTTTTTTGCATTTAAAATTTGGGTCTTTTTGATAGGAATTGGTTGTTTAGAGCAATCAGTTCGTCTTTTGAAGAGTCCCAAGAAGGGTTAAAAAGCTAAAGAGTAAATTATATTTGGGTGGTCAAAAAAAGGCGCACGATTTTAAGGTTCCAAATAAGCTTGAAACTTGAAACTCGATGGAATTGTGAAATAATTGTGAAAGAAAAAACCTTTAGGCATGAGAAATGAAGTTTCATTTAAAATAAGTGGAAGAAGAGGTAACACGAAAAATTGACACAATGACAGGTACATTACACAAAGATTGGAACAGTTTGTGAAATTATTATTTTGATAAAGATGTTTTTCATTAATATGAAGCTCACCTTCTCTTGCTTTTAGGTAAACAGTGTTGGCAACAATATTCTCTAATTCCATTAATTCCAGTTTTGATAATTTTTGTTGATACCTTTCTCCACTTTCACTATTATTTTTATCAAGTGTATCACAGATGAAATTGACGTTATTTTAATTTTTCACATATGAAGCTAGTAGAGATGATGGTGATGTTAAAAAGGATGGTGATTGTGATGATGATGAGGATGAGGATGATGTTAATGATTATGTTGATGATGAGTGAAAAGAGAGTGACTTACAGTAAGGAAAAAAAGGATTTAACATTTAAACCACAACCAAACACACACAGAGCGAAACCCCCCTCAGTGGACCAAATACCTAGTAAATAATGGATAAGATCTGGATCCAGATCAGGAAAAAGATAGCCTGCAACTCTCAACTCCATCTATTGAGTTTAATCTTCAACGTAACCAGATTTTAAAAAAATAACCTCTACAATCCTCCAGATGGCGACCAGAAGCTCGTACTGTTAATCATCAAAAGCTTAAAAATAATTATTATAATTTTTCAATTCAACAAATTAAACAATCTTCAACAATTATGTTTTAAAACCCTTTTCCTTGTTAATTATGTGAAATTTGATCGAATAAGGATGTCTATGAGCCTCATGGAGTCTACAAATAGTGATAATGATCATAACCTTATCCTAAGGTCTACTATTCCTTAGTTAAAGGTAAGTTAGTCTAATTTTTTGGGTAATTGTTATTAACGACCGGCTACTGAAATTGTTATCATTTCAATTTCCAAAAATTTAGTTGCTGAAAATTACTGAAACAATAAATGATTGGTTATGTTGATATTACAATGATTAACCTTTGTATATTGATCTTTACAGATAAGCTATCCCATGCATCAACAGTATTGAGATGATATTGATTTGAGTCTATCTTTGGTTGGAAAATTTATACAAAAATCTTACAAAATATCAAGAATTGAAATTTTCTAAAGGCTTTTGATGGCATTCTGGTTATCATCATTCTGTTGCTTACAATTTGAAATTTAATCAATACTCATCTCGTTCAAGTTCAAGTCGTAATCATCAGAGTTTACACATTACCAATTTCAAGCAAATTAGTGGAAAATCGGAATTGGTATCTGGTTAAATTTTGGGCGATGCTTAAAGATTTGTGAAATTGCATAATCAAATCTTGATCATGCAACTTATCTTACTGAATTAATGATTAAACAGGTTTATTTGAAATGGTAACCCAAATTGAAAATGACAAAACCAGAAAATGGTTGATTCAGACGAGACTAATTTCACACTTTTACTAGAAAAATTATAATCTTTAAGCTTTTCATCGTTCATCAGGCGACTTCGATCACCAAATTAACTGCAATCCACTAAATATTGCCGTAATAAACGAGTTGATTACTTAGAAAGTGAATCCAATTTCGTTGAAAGTTATTATATGTAGTAATATAAAGAATCTTTTGATGACAAAAAAAGCAAACAAACAAAATAAAATCGATTCCCATTTATTCATCAATCATTTCATATAAGGACTAGGATCAATCATTAATCATTAGTAAGATGATGTATGTGCTTATAATGAACCTAAATTTTGTTGAATTGTTGCAATCAGCAAGCTATAATAAAAATTATGAATCAACATGAAGATCTTCAATAACAATGAAACCCTCGATGCAAAAGTAAAAACCAATTGATCTTAACTTTAACTAGATATTAGATAAACTGTAAAATCTCAATCAAAATTAATGCAAAATTAAAATAACAGTAAACATTTCCATTTCACAAAACACTCAGCTGACATCAATTTTCAATTTGCCATTGAAAACAAGATATTGCTTGACACCAAACTCGAGAAAAATCTGAAAATGGAACTGAATTTAAATATTTCAAACCAAGATTCAAACCTAATTAGCTTATTAATAGCCATTAAAACTGATTGGCAATCAAAAGCATTGAAATTGAATGCAAAAAACCTCTAAATTCTGGTTCAGCTTTTCTCATTTCTCTTTTGAAATTTTTCTTCTTCTTTACTTTGGTGAAATTTATGTGAACGAAATGACTTGAATTTCAATTTTTGGGTCAAATTTTGTTTGAAAAAGTCGATCGATTGGAACTTCTCGAATTAAGAGGAAAAACTTTTCTCTCATCTCGATCATAACCATTAAGTTTAACTTTAATCATTTGTGACTTGTTTTAAATCGATCTTATTTGTAAGTTAACTTTGATCATTTCATTAAAAAATAACAAGCCTTTGTAACGCAATAAATTTGATCGTTAATTTCAGGATAAAATTGAAAACTTTTGCATTTCAGTCAATTTTAGGAACTGAAGTAATTGATGAAATTTTACTGAAAACACAATGCATATTTAACATGTAAATTGAAGTGAAATACAATCAGAAATTATGTTTTATCAAATTCACCGTCCATTACAAATGTTGCCAGATGAAAGCATTACAATAACATTGAATTGTTCAACTAACAATTGAATTGAATGAACAATTGTATACTTTCACCAAGTCAATGTACTTAAATTACAGTGAAAATGTACTCTAAACGAAGCGATTAAAGATGAAAAAATGGCATTTTAAAAGTCGCTTCTGATTGTCAAAGGTTGAAGCGCAAAAGAAGCGAAAAAAATGATAAAATTTGGCAAATTGATTCGGCAAAACTTCACATTAAAGAAGCTTCAATGCCACTGAAACTTGACATTAAATATTCAATATAAACCTTCAAATCGATGAGACAATCTAATAGCAGAATCAGCAAGACCGATGAACCTAATTTATCATGTTTATTGATATTAACCAGTTACTTACTGTAAACCAGTAAATAGTCAGAATCAATAGTTTCCATTAAGATAATTTCAAGCAATCCCATTGATTAAAACATTGGCAAGTCTTTATTACAATTTGACATAAAAACCGTGAATCGGTCAAAGGTTTTAAAACTGATTAAATATTGACAAACATTTGGACCTTTTACCTTGTAAGTCCTGCCTCAGAGGGAAAGTGTAAATATCCCAAAATCATGGTCAACATCGGAAATGGTGCAGCTAAAAATGGTTCATTTTTTGACCAGAAAAAAAGGTTAGAAAAGGGAAAAAAGCGAAAGAAGGAAGCAAAAAAAATAGACTCAACCATAGGCCAAGACGAAGGAGGTGGTTAAGGTGGAGGTGGAGTAGTAGGTGAAACCCTGAGAAAGGTAAAGAGAGAGTGAGAGAGGAAGGATATGATGATAATGACGATGATGATAATGATGACTGGTAAATGGTTTTGTCTACCGGCGAGATGTTATCATATGTACAAGGAAACCCTTGAGTTTTTTTGGGTTCACGGTTTGCTGTTGTTTGCTGTTGATGATTATTTTTTTTGTCTTCTTTCTCTGTGTTGTAACAACCAGAGTGGGAGAGGGAAAAAAACGACACAAAGTTGCATGGAAACGGCCATATTCAATGCTACGACACACAAAAATAAAACAGACAAAAACATATACACAATTAGGCAGCAGAAAGCAAAAAAAAAAGGTAAAAAAATAAGTTGAAAGCAGCAAAAAAAAAGTCAATGAATAGCAACAAGAATGATGATGATACATTGGCTGTACAATTGACTGCTTGTTGACCAACATTGTGATCATGAAGGGCACATTGACACGCAGATTTATGCACTGTATTGTCTTGGTGTAACCAGAGGTGAAACTTGATCAACCAAGGGAGATGAAAGGGAAAGATAATTGACTCGTAATTGGTTATGAAGAGGAATGATGAGAGGAAAGTTGTTTACCTTTCGTGATCCAATATATTTACACATTTTAGAGAGACAAAAAAAATGGTCAACAATTTTTTGGTTAAAAGTGAAAAGTGCAAAGTGTAATCGGTCAATAAACTTGACCATTGTTTTTTTATATTTCTGTTGCTTTTATTTGACTCTCAATTGGGTTTCAACTGTGAGACCATTTAGACTCATCATTGTTGGTATAATTGATAAACTTGCAGGTTTTTGCCTTAACTCTAGTAAAAACCTTTGATCGATCCTTGTGTTTCTGGTTAGTTGATTAGTAGTGAACCAGATTTTCAACTAGGAAGCACAAGAAAGGCACAATATCTGGTAATGTATATTTTCTGGTTAATAATATATTTAATGGTAATATCGATTGAAATATTTTAGTTTAATATGATTGGTTCAGATTGACTGTTTGTGTGTGTGTGTGTGTTTCAAGATGATGAATACAATGGTATAAAAGAGTAGCTTTCATCATCATCATCATCAGATTATAACTGTAACTGGGAGGGAAAAGTTGGGTTTGTTACCTGAGAAAACAAAACATTTGTAAAAAGCCAATAAGTACATTCATATTTTGGGTTTTGTTTTATATTTTTTTATTTCTCAATTTGACTTGCGCTAGAAACCCAAAGTAGACAGAGAATTAGAAAGATGATAATGATGATGAGAATGATGAGAATGGCTTGAAAGATGTAATAGATGTATTTCCTGTCCCAAACACACTCATTGTTTTATCCAACATCAACATATTTACTGTTCAATTGTTACACCAATACCTTTACTTTCATCGCAAATGTATCAACTTTTTTTTCAACTCTGTGATTCTTCACAATTGAGTGACTTTTTTTATTGTTATCAATTGGTTTTTTTTGTTGACTGTGTGTCTTCATGTTCAACTGGGTAAGTTTTTCATGATTTGTTTTGCTTTTTCTTGGACCTGAAAATATCAAATGTTTGAAACATAAGTCACTTTTTGAAATGTTTATTAGGATCAAATCAACTGCAAGTCATCAGAGAAACTTCAATCTATCAATCCTTTTAGTCTGGTTAACAAGTCTGGTTATAAGGCAACCATATGGTTGGACAATTTAGACTGGAAATCAATGCTTTTTAAGATTCAACTGTTCTTTCAAGTGTTTTTTGATTATTTTAAGAGACAAAAGATACATTTTTAGGACCAAATAGACTAGGTTTTGGGTTTTATCAATTTTGAGATAAATTTAAAGTAGCCAATGATAAGAAGGTGAAACTTTGCCGTGTTAACCTTTGAAGAAGGAGATGTTTGTTACCATCAAATCAACTTTTAATCATCGTCTCGACTCTAGTTTTTAAGTCTTCTCAAGTGTAACAATAGCAATAAAAGTTAACCCTATGAGTTTCATTAAACTTTGAGTAAACCAAGAGACTCAACCTTTTATTGAAAGCAACTGATCAAGAACCTAATTTTCAACAATCTGTGAATTGTGAAGAGAAATAATCAAAATTAGATGAATTAGACTGTATAAGCTGTCATAATGAGTTTCAATTTTCTGGTAAAATAATGCAAGAAACCAGAGTTTGATACTTTGATCAAGCAAAGGACTAGACATTCAAACCAAATTGAATGGTTTCTTTGAACTGTTACTCGACTTTCAATAGCATAACGGTTTAGCTTTAAACTGTGTTTAGTGTTGACTTTTCGTGTCTAGCTTTTCGGTCAGATACATGTATTGTGGTCAAATGATGAATGTGTCAAGGTCGGTTGAAAGTGTTTGAAAGGTTTTCAGTTGCAATAAAAGTCTCCACAAATTGGAAAGGTTTTTTGAACTCGAACTACGATGCAATTAGATGAAACATAGAGTGGTGATTAAGGTGAGAGAGTTTGATACAAATCAAAAAGGTAAAGAGAGACAAAGGTTAGCCCAGTCTAGGGACAATTTAGTGTCAAAAAGTGTTTACCTTTTGTTTTCACTGTCCTCTTCTTTATCTGTCTTATGTCTTTTCCAGTTTCTATCTGGTTGATTTGGTTGAAAAGATGAAGTGCACGGTGAGAAAACGAAAGAGTGGAAAGGCAGGTGGAAAGAGACAGAGATGATAATGAGGATGAAAAAGGAAGATGGTGAGAGATGATGAGAGGAAGAGGGAGGATGATTGGGCGTAGGTTCACTTTTTTTCTGCCAAATTTTGGTTCCTTTTAAGCTATTTTTTCACTCTCTTTTAACAGCAGCTTTACCTCAATGAATCTGATTACCTTGAAAGGTAAAGAAGTAGGTAAATGTTTGGTCTTTTTTTTCTGGTTATCATGATTGATGAAAGATTGACAAGTTTCTCATCTTCTTCTTCTTCTTCTTGCATATGAATAACAACCAAAGATTTCAATTGAATTCAATGTTTCAACTGGATTCGTTTTTAGTGTGATTGAATGGATGAAAGGGAAAAATAATTGGTTAATCATTATTGTTGATTGTGATTTACCTTGTTTATGATGATTTTGCATTGTTGTCTTAAGTTCATTGTCCTTTCCCTCTTCACTCACCATCATCAGCTTTGTCCATTATTGTTAATATTTAAATTACCTTTAATTGGGTTCATTTTGAGGAGATAAAGAGATTCATTTTGTGGCTTTGAAACAATTTTTCATTATATCTCTTCTCTCAGGTAACTTGAAGTATTGATTTTGAAAAATATTTTTCAAACACTTGAAATAGACAGGTAAATAGAGTCAGGAAATAATGATTAATGTTTGAAGTTTGACCAACAAAACGTTTCAACAATCAACTTTGAAAGAAAAGAGAAAATTCGATTTTTTTTTCTTGAAACTCTTTTGGAGTTTTTTTTCTTCTTCTTGTTGACCAGAAATTGAATTCTGGTTTTCCGGTAGTTCGTCTACTTTGACCATATTTTTGAGTTCAATGACAGTTTAATGTTAATCGCTTTTTGCCAACTCACTTTGCAATTGTAATTCATGATTCCATGTTTGCAATGACAATAATTACAATGACATTTAATGGGAAATGCTTCTTAATAACAATAACAATAATGATCCAGACACTAATCCATTAACAGGGAATTTATCATGACATGGTTTTTCAAAAGATTCACAATGATTATCATGATGATTATGTGAATGATGATCAAATGAATGAACAAAAAAATGAAAGCAAACCCGTTTACAGACACACACAAAAAAGGGGTTTTATGAGAATCGAGTTTCACTTTTTGCTTTATTGTCTGTAATTTTGCTCAACTAATCTTTCAAAGCTTTTAGCCTTTTTTTATACCTCAGGTTGAACCAAATTAGAGTGAAATGATGATGATGGTGAGAAAGGGCAACTAAGAATTTTGAGTGAAAATGTTCAAGGTAACATCATCATGTTCTGAGTGAATAAGCAGCCAAAAAGTGAATCTTAAAAGGCATTGACATTCAATTGCTTTTATAACAAGTAATAAAAAGAAAAAGGTAAAATTGGTTTTCTCTTTTTTTACCTTTTATTATTGTTCTGATGACGATCAGGAAAGTTGAATGATTAACTCACAAAGCAGAGAAATGAGTTTAATAACAAGAACGAGTTTCACCTGATTTTGAGTTAACATTAAAATGTCAGAGGAAAAAAAAGGTTAAAAATCAACACTTGAGTCAATTTTTCAAGACAACAAAACATATTGAAAATTTGGGTTTATTTAACCAGAAATTTTTGTCTAGAGAAACCAAAATTTTTCCTGAAAATGTTTCAAGTTAAATTTTGATTTTAAATCAATTTGAAATCAAAGTCAATTGATTGTTGAGTGACAAATCAATATATTGTAATGGACTGTAACCAGAATATTGGTTAACCAGAAATGTGTTTATTAAAAGGCAATCAACTCTGATTAATTTCAATGTTGTCACTGTTATTAGTTAACTGGATCAATAGATTTGTTGCTTTGCCTTTTGCTTACCAGTTTCTGGTTAGATTGTTACCTTCATTTGTAGCTATTTGTTACCCTGATTTGCTACCCTTATATCAATTGCCGATTACAATTACAATCTTAACCACAACAATTGCCTTTGCCTTGTAATAAAAAAAACATGAATCTATTTTACCTTTTCAATTAAATCAACCATTTCGTGAATATAAATATATATCATTATCAATATGGAAGCAGATGATAACAATAATAATAATACTTGGTTACCATTTATTTATTTATTTTGTTATTTATTTACTTCTCTCACTAACAATTATTATTATTATTGTTCAACCAATTTTGCCTTTTGTATATTTTTTCATCCATTTTCATGGTAACCAAGACAACTTATTTTTTGTGATATTAAAATGCTATTTTCACTCCCAGTTAGATCAATGATTGTTGAATCGTTATAATGATAATCTTATCCCTTTTTTTGCTGCTATAAAATTGCATTTAAAGCATTTCTCATTGCATTAATAGCTTTTTTACATTTCACTTTTACTCTATCTGGTTGAAAAAAAGCTTAAAAATAAAGACTTGTTCAAAGACATTTCTGTTGATTGTAAACCATTTTGAGCATGATTTAATAATAATCATAATAATGTATAATAAAAAAAAGTTTAAAATTGGTTATCATAATGGTTATAGGTTGAAGGTTGTTAGCAAAGGTTAATAGTTAAGGTTGATAATGAAGGTTGATGATTAGAGGATGATATTAAAGGATGATGATAATAGATGATGATAATAATGGTAATGATAATGTTAGTGAAAGCAACAGGTTGATATTGGATGAAATTGAATATGAAAGTGAAATTGTTAACGATGTCTTTTTATGTAATATTTGTACACACGCATCATGATGATGAGAGAGGTAAGAGGAGGATATGGAAGAGAGATGATGGTGAAGATATGAGAGAGAGATTGAGAGAGTGGAATGTCTTTACTTAACAATTTTTTGATTTCTAATTTTCTCTCTCTCTCTTTTTTGGGGTTCCTCTTTACTTTCAGACACAAAAAACAAGCTTTATGTGCAAAAGAGCATGAAATAACAAGTATGGTGAATGGGATGATAATGATGATGGTACAAGTAGTGATGGTGGGGTGGAAGCTGGGAGACACTGAAAACTGTCTTTCACTCTTTCAGAGAAGTCAGAAAATTTCATCCTCATCATCTTCTTCTTACTTTAATCAGTCAACTTTCACTTTTTCATTATTCTCAACTTTCTTCTTTAAATCATCTTGACTCACTCTCTCACCTTTACCTTTGTTTATTGGCCTTCTCTATCTTTAAATCATCCAACTCTAACTTTTTTATTCATCTTATTCTTGCCTTTCCAAATCAAGTCTTTCTCTCTCTCCTCTTCCCCTAAGCATCTTTGGGAAGATCATCTTCTCTTTCTCCTTCTTTCTCTTTCTCATAGGTACTCAGGCTTGAACATCAAAGCCCCGGTTCCAGGATGGTTGAAGTTATGCTTCGACAATTTGAACAGAATTGATGTTGGGGTTGTAAAAAAACGTTTTTCATGTAATATTATTAGAGAATCTGGAATATGGAAGAAAAGAAAAAGAAGAGAATTAGAAAACACTTTCTTTACAAGTTGCTTTTTTTGAAAATCTGATGATAATAATGATGATTGTAATGAAATTTTCTTCTTTTGTCGACAGTTTTAATCCTGAAAAAAGAGGACTTTTCTATTGTCCAAGAAATTTACCTTTTTTGATGATTTTGTTGACTACAAACTGGCAACTATCCTGGGCCTATCCATTGACTTTACCAGATTTTCCTGTTGACTTTTTTTCCCTTTTTTGAGTCAATGCTTTACAGATTGCTCATTGAAGATGAACCTTTTTTACTTTACCATCTTCTGATTCAATTCACTTGTTGCATGCTCTTTTGTTGAGAGGAGTTTTAACTCCCTTTGAGTTGATTGTATTTTCCTTGATTGTTGAAAAGTTTAATATTCATATTATCAAGCATTGATTCTGATTTGAATAACTAAAAGAGGAATAGTAAAAAAAGGTGTATAGAATTAATCAATGAGAATAGGTAGCGTATAAAAACAATGGTAGCAACTTTACATAATAAGGTTGGTTGCAGAAAAATGTAAATAGACTTGCCATTGATGAATATAAACATTTTAGTTGTAATTGTTATCAGATTGGTTGATGTTAGATCAATCAATAGAATTGATTAATTGATTCAAGTAAAGGTTGAAACACTGAAACACTGGTTGTAGTTTAGTTGACATCTTTTTAGCTTTAGTTCATGTCCATTGGCCATTTGTTTCACCAAATTACTTTCAATTCAACTTCAGGGGGAAGTTTAAAGACTGAGAAATACCTTTGAAATACAATTTATAGTTGATTAACTGAAAATGAACAAATCAAAATGACTATAAAAATGGATATTTACAAATATATTTTACATTTTATTTCATTTTTGATGAAAAAATGAAATATAATTGAAAAGCGCCATCTTTTATGTGTATAAGCTATTATAATGAGCCATCTACTCAATTATTATGCAAACATATGAGGAAAACGGTGTAGGTGGTAAAATTTAATCCAGCTTTTTAAAACAGTATTTTAACTGTCGCAAATGATTTTAATTAAGTGACAATCAAGGATTATGTTTGATTAATGCCAATCAGTGTAAGTTGATTAAATAAGTTTCCCAGTTGTTTTCAATATAAACAGTTAACCTGAACGTTGCTGTGAAGTAAACCAATTTTGCTCTCATTTATTTGCTTCAATATGTGTTTAGAAAGCATAAGTTAGTGATTTTTTTTGGCTCCAAATTTGAGTTATTATCATTGAATGTTTTATTTTTTGTTTAATTTTGTTGATTAATTGTGATTTTGTTTTTTCTCTCTCCTAGATTAGTTAACAAGTCTCGTGTTAACTCTCCTACTTGTGACAGATTTGCGTTTTGAACTGCAAGGATGAACATTTATACTTCTTTAACCATATCCGGTGAACGCGTTTTGCATTAAAATTACTAGTTACATCTAACTCAGTGAGTACATTCAATTGTTAATGATAATAATTTGATAAATTACTTGGCATTGTCATTGTTAGTACAACTATCATTATTATTTTTTTTATAAATTTTAGCATGCTTGTTTTTACTGGTCGTTTCTTGCCCAATTGATTGCAATAATACATCAATTTTTTCCCGAATGATTGAACATTGAATTTGATTTTTGATGACAAGATTGAAGCAGAAACCCAAATAAGCAAAGAAGTATCCATAATTTGACTAACCATTACACCAATTTAAAGATTAAAAGCTGTACACAATGGAAAAATCAAAGTTGAACAAGGCACAAAAGTGGTCAATTGATATGAACAAGTTGAACTTGAAAATTGAACGCAAGTTATGGCTGTGCGGGTGTAAAAAGAGCATGAGAGACTTGAAATGATGATGATGATGATATGGAATCACAGTTTTCATACAAAAGAAATATTTCTTGGAGAAAGAAAAAGGTTAATCATTACCATCATTATTATTATCATCATCAGACCCCCGAAAAAAAAGCAACTTGTAAAGAAAGTGTTTTCTAATTCTCTTCTTTTTCTTTTCTTCCATATTCCAGATTCTCTAATAATATTACATGAAAAACGTTTTTTTACAACCCCAACATCAATTCTGTTCAAATTGTCGAAGCATAACTTCAACCATCCTGGAACCGGGGCTTTGATGTTCAAGCCTGAGTACCTATGAGAAAGAGAAAGAAGGAGAAAGAGAAGATGATCTTCACAAAAACGAAATAGAGAGGAAAGATGATTAGGGGAGAGAGAGAAAGAGACTTGGATGATTTGGAAAGGTAAGAATAAGAATTAGAAAAATAAGAATAAGAAGAATAAAAAAGTTAGAGTTGGATGATTTGAAGAGAGAGAGAGAGAAAGTCAATAAACAAAGGTACAGATGAGAGAGTGAGAGAGAACCGTGAGTTAAGATGATTTTGAAGAAAGTTGAGAAGAAAAAAAAAGGTAAAGTGAGAGTTGACTGATTAAACTAAGAAAAAGGTATAAGTTGAAGAAGAGGAAGATGTTGATGAGGATGAGGAGAGACTTTTTTCACAAAGAGTGAAGACAGTTTTGCCTCGGTGTCTCCCAAAGAAACTACCTCTTCCACCCCACATCACCATCATCATCATTCTCTTTCCCATCATCCTATTCTCCATACTTGTTATTTCATGCTCTCTTGATCATAAAGTTGTTTTTTGAGAGAAGAGGAAAAAAATTCACTCCCTCTCGTTTTTTTCTCTCTTCTCTTTCATATCTTTCATCCAGTCTCTCATTTCTCTTCTTTCTCTCCCTCTTCTCTCCCTCACTCTCTTTATATATAAAGACATCGTTAATATCTCGTATCCTCATTTACCTCATCCACCTTCCAACAACCTGTTGTTACCTTTGTTGTTTTTTCATACTTGATTCGCATCATCATCATCATCATCTCTTCTCATCTTCTTCATCATCAACATTTTCATCTTATTCATCTTTTTTCTGCTCTCAACCTCACTTTACTTCTTCAACTCAACTTTAAAGTTTTATTTTTTGTTCACATTGTTCTAACTTTTGTTTCAATTTTTTGTTAAAAAATTTGTTTTAATTTTGTTTTCTCTTTTTTTCCTCTTCTTTTTATGTTTTCCACCGTTTGATTGTTTTAAAATTTTTGTTCCATTATTTTTCATCAATCTGTTTCTCTCTATGGCACTGGAAGAATTCACGGGGACTCAATGTTATTCCGTGGTTTCTCTAGTGCTGTGAAGAGCAGCGGGCAAGTTTCATCAAGAAATACATTAGTTTACCAAAAAATGATCAAGTTGAAACTGTTTCAATTCGTCCAAGAAAGAGACCAGCAAAGAAGCCAATAATCAAGAGATTTTTTTTCTGTCTAACCAACACCGCCACCAACTATCAAAATGCAGTAAATTAATTTCACTTTCATCAACGAAACATGAAACAGAGCAAAAAGAAGAAAGAAAATTATGCTTTTTTATATTCTACGCCGATTTATTCTTCTTCTTATTCTTCATTGTACAAACCTGTTTTCTTCCAACTTCTATTCCTTCTCTCCTCTTCTCTTACCTTACCTTTTATTCGCCTTCTTCTTCTGCCGTGTCCTTCAGGTGACTACAATTAGTTTTATGTTTTACCTATTGTTAGTTCATTATATACTTTGCTTACCTTTTTTGTTCATCTCTCCGTCATCTTCCACTCTCATACTCACTATCCTTCTCTCTCTCTCTCTCTCTCTCTTCCTTATCACCATCAACATCAATCTGCTAGAAAATATTATTCATCTCGTAATCTTCAACCAATCTGAACCTTTATCCTTGGCACTGGAAGAATTCACCGTTGATTAGTTAAAAAACTCGTGGGTTCTTGGGTGCCAAAGACTAAGGATAAGAATTCAAGATTATAATCATTTCGATACGAATAACTTGAAGTTAAATTGGTTGAAAATGAATCCTTTTTGCCTCTGTTGAAGGATACAATTAAATTGAAACAATTGAATACACACTCACACAAAAAACGCAAGTAACAAGCAAAAATAATGCAACAGAAGAAGCAACAAATGCAGAAAAGATCAAGATTTAACTTTCCTTTTCTCTCTCCTGTTCCTTTATCGTCAATGATTCAATACAAATACACACACACACACAATTCAAACTTTATTAAATTCATTCCAAGGTCTGTATGTATTTATTTGCCATTATTTATTTTTGCTATGTGTCTCAATTACAACCACAACGTTGAACTCAGAATTGAAAAGCACAATTAATCTAACCTTTTTTTATTTCATTGTAGCTTTTTTTTCACCGAAAACACATGTATTCCAACATCTTTATCTTCCTTCCTTTTGTATTTTTTTCATCTCTTTTTTTCTCCTTTTCCTCCTTTTTTCTCTCTAGACCTTTAACACCGATTCCACCGCAACCAGCCAACCTCACAGACGTTTAAACTACACACATACATGCATAATTCAACCTGAATCAATACAAGCTTTTTATCACCATTACCTTGAAACGATTGGGTAAACACAAGCATTATTATTATGACAAGGTTTAACAAGGTTTAACAACAGCAAAAAAGATGAGGATGACAAGGATTTTCTTGTGCAAAGTAAAACAAGATCAGATGGATTTGCTTTCCACCTCCCTCTCTTGCTCTCTCTCAATCTATCTTCCATTCTTTTTCTATTCTCTTCTTTCTCTTCCTTTTTTTTACCGGAAACTTTTCTTGCCATTTTATCATTCTGTTTACATCATGGAAAGACCCTCATGTTGATTAGGATCAATCTGTTTTGCCATAATGGAAACTCATTTTATGCAATGAAAGGAAAAAAAAGAAAGAATCATCATCACCGGCAACAACAGCGGTAACAACAATACGATTGCTTTAATTATTTTGATGGCGAATGAAACATTTGTTGCTTCTTTTGGACACTAACTGGGAAGATGACTTATGGTATCGTTGATTAAGACATCAAATTGTCACCATTATCTTTACAATCTTTCATAATCATCATCATTATATCCATCAAGGAGCCAGCTTAAACATGACAACATAATCATTGTACTGATCCCCATCGCTTTTACCACTTCTGCTTGCCACCGTCATGTTAACTGATCTTGGATTAAGGTCCGAAAAAACTGGAATTGTAAACAAATAAACTGTTGGCTGGTGAAAAATTTCAACTAAATTGGACTGGTTAATCAACTTATCAGGCTTGTTTTTGTGGCTCATAAGATCTATGTTCAGTCTGAATCAATTGGTTGTAAAGAGTAATTATTAACACTCAATCAACTCTGTCTTTAACGTCGATGAGGCTAGTGGAAATAATGATGTTTTTTTCAATTAGTTGATTGAATTTAACGTAAGTAGAAGGAAAAGAAGTGCAACAATTACAAATGTCACGAACTCACAAATTGTCACTGAAATTTTGCAAAAAAACGATAATGTTATATTCATTTTTGAAAATTATATCTATTGTAATTAATAGCGAAAATCAGGAAAGTCCAAAATTTTTACACCACTCACAAACGAAGCGTTGAAATAATGCTGGAAATAAGATGTAATTTAAGAAGTTAACCATGAAAAATTCATTTCAAAACGATTCATGAACTATGGTAACTTGTCACTTTAATTTGTAAAAATTATATTTTTGGTTAAAATGTAAGTTACAAAATAACCATAGCAATTAAATTATTTTTTGATAATGTAAAAAACACAGATAAATACAGTTTTTGGACAATCTGATCAATTGGATTAATCATTTTGATATTGGAGAAAAAAATTGTAGCAAATCAATTTTCATTACATTTGTGGCATAAATTTAACCCAAGATCGTTGGTAAATTTTTGGTCGATAGCTTTTCTTGTAAAAATCAAGATTCCTTGAAATTGTCGATATTTTCATCAGGTTTAAAGTTTTAACCCAATCCACCTCCAAGAGCTTGTCCTAAGCCTCCACCAAGACCTTGTCCACCGAGCCCTTGTCCACCTTGTCCAGCTAAGCCTTGACGTCCCAGAGCAGCAAGGTTACCCAAAGCACCTAAACCACCAAGACCTCCTAAACCTCCTTGTCCTCCTTGTCCACCTAATCCTTGACGACCAAGAGCAGCAAGATTACCCAAGGCACCTAAACCACCTAAACCACCGGGTCCACCAGCACCACCTCTTTGACCTAATGCGCCAAGATTCAGAAGATTACCGATACCTCCTCCAATACCATTAACTAAAGCTCCTAAACCTTGTTGACCCAAACCGTTTTGTTGTCCTTGGGAATTGCCGTATCCACCGCCTTGGTTGCCCCCTAAGCCACCTAAACCTCCTCCGAATCCTTGTCCTCCGAGTCCACCAGATGAGCTATCGAAATTTCCAGAGTTTCCACTAAAACTACCAGAATCACCTCCGAACTCACTACCACCTTGTCCTCCTTGTCCACCTTGTCCACCGAGATCTCCTTCTCCTCCAAGCTCTCCGAGATCACCTAATCCATCGAGACCACCAAGATCATCCCCTTGACCGAGAACCATCGCAATCAAATTGAGGGATAATATCACTGTAATTGATTTAATAAACTGCAAAAAAAATAAAACAACAATTAGTTTTTGTCAACTTACTTGTTAGATGAATAATAAACAATCAGAACATCGAAACCTCTTTTAATAACAGTTAAAATTACTAAAAATTTTCCAACTTATGCTACAGCTATGCTCATTCTTCCTCATACAAAACGACATGAGAATTTATTTTCTATTTTCTCAACTGATAATCAAACATGAATTATCCAAGAGACTGGTCATACGAATGCACTTGAATAATAATCAATGGAATCTGATAACTGTTCACCTTACAATATTTTCACTTGATTGCAATTGAAAATACGAACTAAGCTGAGACTCATTGAAACGATTTGTTGAGGGCTTCATAAAATTTCAAATTGAAACAAAACAAAATTGACTCAAGTCCAAATTATGAGTCGAAAGATCACTCAATGTTTCATGAATCTACCAAACGTTAACACAAGACACATTAACAGTTGAAATAATCCATTGAGGCTAATCCCGGTAATATTAAGAGATATCGAGACACAAAACCAAATGGACAAAGAATAAAGAAAATAGATAAAAATGTTTTACGAAACATACCATTGGATTCATTTTGTTGGAAACAGTTTTACTTTTTTATCTTCACTTATGAAATACACTTTAACAAATGACACAGAAGAAATAAATTCGCTTGCTTTTGTAGACTATTTTGAAATGTGAATTTAAAATTAACTCTAATTGTCTTAAGTGAGAAATGAACTTATTACTGTTGTTTACCTCCTTTTTGTCTCTTGAAGATTAAATTTTAACCTCGCATTTATAACTACCACCGTTTTTTATCCCAACCATCCATGGTCATCAACATTGACTCTTTTTTTTGGTATTACCAACTATTACTCACCCTTTCCCTGCATCTTTCCTTTCTTTCTTTATTTCTCCTCTATTATCATAAATTTGTCCCGGTAAATATTATCAAACCCACCATAGTTTCATACTCAGTTATCTGTGTTCAACTCGCTCGATTAATCAAGCAAATTAAAGAGTTGATCAACGATTTAACGGATATCCCGTATCCCAGTGAGTACTCGAGAAATGTTTCAAGTAAAACCATGTTTTTGGATAAACCTGCGCCAAACAAAAGTGTAATTTACCTTTCTTTTTGTTCAACTCTTATTTCCACCTCCAATTTACAACATTATCAACTCTAATCGTGAGTATATTGTGCATTACCGAATTACTAAACCAGTTTGAACTTACCATCGATCAGTTAATTCAATGACAACAGCCGGATTACCTATTCTCACTATTGTTTTAACCAAGGTTCACTATAATTGCGTGTATGACTATGTACACCATGTAAACAACGACCATTTTTGTTTCTTCCATAATCTATTTGGCTCTCAAATTACATTTTGCTTTAATTATTAAGATCCTGACTGTTTATTGTTACCCTTCTACATGTATTACCATAATCGATGACATCCTATGAGTAACTATAGAGAATTAACTTGCTCATAATTAATCCCAATGTAAGAGAGAGTTGAAAAAGGTGTTACACATGCATTAGTATGTGTATATTATTCAAAGTGTCGTGATTAATCTATGTTTATCATAATTGTCGTTTACTTTGATCAAGCAAACTGATTGTTATTTCAATTTAGTTAAAATGCATGTTAATACAAGTATTGGAAACATACTTTCTCCAATGAGTTCAATAGTCCAAGTAGACATTGAATTAGTCAATGTTGGCCTCTGTTTGTCACACAATCAATAGCCAATCTGGTTATAAGCTTTTGATTAACCAGAAAAGTCTAAACCAGTTTTTCTATGAGTAATTGTTTGATCCTGTTCGCTTTCAAATGTTTAACCAGTTTTTAGTTGAAACCTTCAACTAGATGAGTAACAAGTGGTTCAACTGTTAAGTTTGAAACAAAATCTATCAACATCTTTGGAGTCTTCAATATTTAACTGATGAATAACAGACAAGGTTAACCTGACGATGATAAGAAAATCAATGGAGATCAATGAAGGTAATTAATTCGGCCAGCATTACTTTTAAAAGGTTTCTCAAGTGAAAGGGTTCCTTCTAATGAGATAATCAAAAGGACATTAATCATGACAGTTACAAGGATTAATTGTATAATTGAAGATATTATTATACAAGATGCAAGTTTGGATTCTCATTATAGCGGGAAACAGATGATTAGAAAGACATTAATCATTGATTATAAGAAGCAATAACGATCATTTAATCTCATTGAGATATTGTTTACCTTGGTTAAGATGTTAATAATGAAGTGTTAAAACCTAAACATAATTAATGCCAACAATTGATCTACTTGGTGATTAGCAAGTTAAGGTAAGTAAACAATTGATTTAAACTTAACAGTTCCGTTGAGTCTTATGCATTTGATTTTATTCAGTTTGACTAAAGTGTATTTGATTTTATGTGCAATTGTTATTTCTTGTTTGATTTCATCAAATTGTTGACTTTCACATTGATAACTAATTCTTAATTGTCTATTCTCTATTTAGTTTCCACAAAACCGGCTGTTCAAGGTATACTGGAAGACAATTAAAATGTAATGAGGAAATAATGGAAATATCAATGAAAGATGAGAAAAGAAAAGGTAAAATGAATCTGAATTTGATAAACTTCCAGCATATTAACAGGAATAATCAGCTGAACATGAGCCAGTTAAAAGGGTTGGCAATTAAAATTGAATTCGATTAAAAAACTATTGATCAAACAAATGATCAAGATAATTGTAATGTATTTCCATTAACTTCTTGCGGATTAGAAAGCGATAAAACTAGTTGCTAATAGGTAACATGTTGAGGTACAGGTTGAGGAAACAAAACTGACTGCTCCGAGTTGATTATATTGAAATACATGGACCAAATGAAATGTTACGGTTAGATAGCCAATGATTCAGGGTTGAAGAATAATCAGAACTCATATGTAAATCATTATCCATTTCACTGTAGATCCGAATCGCCTTGTTGACTTGTCTCGTGTATTTCTTGATATCTTTTTCCATATGTACTGTATTCCAACCAACACGATTATTACAGATTGATACAAAACTTAAAATGTAATCTCAGTCTAGCAACATAGTAATTATTTTATCTTTTTATTATATATTTTAGGTCTTTCTCTCTCATGAGGTTGCCACAATAATTCATGTCTACCTGGAATGTCTGACAGCAGACATATAATTTACCTTGAAACACACAGGCACAGAAACGTGGATAAAGCAAAAAGCTGAACTGCTGCAATGAAACACAAAAGTAAAAAGTATAGAGGATTTAACCCGATTCCAGATTTGACATGAACATTTACACTTTCATGATAGATTCATTACAATTCAAGAAATGTTTGAATCCATTGGTAATGAAAGTTAAATGTAATGTTTAACAGTCAAGATACAGATGAGGCAGATGATGATGATTATGGTGAGATTGTTGAGCATTTTAGCGATTCCCAGATGAACATCAAAAACAGGACATTTTGTTGAAGGATAATGATTAAACGTGATTGAAGTTTAATAGTCTCCGGTTTGAAATTACTGGTCAACCTGATCTTGAGCAGATCAAATTATTCATCTTAATCTATCACCTGATTGTAACACACAGTAAAGTCTCAACTCTTAAGCAATAAGATGCATAAATTGGTAATAAAGTTAATCTTTTGCTCTCATGTTAAATGATTCAACTTTTTCTGAATGTCATCTTTTGGGTACAATTTATGAAGTAACGTAAAAGGGTTTGACGATTAAATTGAATTGAATAAGTACAATTAAACAGTCAAAGAAGCATAATTTATGACTTTAATACCACGAATTTTGCGCTAATCTTATTTGACTTATAGATGGCACCACATGGTAGAACATATGATTTAATAATTTTTCCGTTTCCTTTGCACCAAAAGTGAAATAACGTGGTGTTTTTTGTTGGTGTTTTGACAACAAATGTTAATTATGTTTTGATTAACAATTTTTCGACCGGTATCTTGATATTAATCTTCAACCCTTTTGATTAAGAATTTTTACACTCTGTAGTTATTGTTTACCTCAGAATGGTAAGATTTTTTGTAATGGTTTATAATTTTTGTTTCTCACACATATGCATTGTGCTTCCATCTTTTTCTTTCTTAGGATTTAAGTGAACTTACTCCGTTAACACCTGAGGTTATCAGTAGGCAAGCAACCATCAACATAGGTACCATTGGACATGTAGCCCATGGTAAATCAACGGTTGTCAAAGCAATCTCTGGTGTTCAAACCGTTCGGTTTAAGAATGAATTAGAGCGTAATATCACTATTAAACTGGGTTATGCAAATGCCAAAATCTACAAGTGTGACTTTGAGGGTTGTCCAAGGCCTGGATGCTATCGGGCCGAAAGGAGCAGTAAGGAAGATGATTTTCCTTGTGATCGACCTGGATGCACAGGAAGGTTTAGACTTTTACGGCATGTATCGTTTGTTGATTGTCCTGGTCACGATATTCTTATGGCTACCATGCTTAACGGCGCTGCTGTGATGGATGCTGCATTGTTGTTGATTGCAGGAAATGAAACATGTCCTCAACCTCAAACTTCTGAACATTTAGCAGCTATTGAGATAATGCGGCTGCAACACATTCTTATACTGCAAAATAAAATAGATTTGATTAAGGAATCACAAGCCAAGGAGCAGTATCAACAAATTACTAAGTTTATTCAAGGAACTGTAGCAGAAGGAAGCCCAGTAATTCCTATTTCTGCTCAACTTAAGTATAATATTGATGTTATATGTGAATACATAACCAAAAAGATTCCCATACCTAAACGAGACTTTGAATCACCACCTCGACTGATCGGTAAGTATTTTTCAGTCAACTCCCATTTATTTTATTTTCACCTGTTGATTTTGATATTAATGGTTATCATTTATTTATCTTCAGTAATTAGATCTTTTGATGTTAATAAGCCTGGTTGCGACGTTGAAGACATTAAGGGAGGAATTGCTGGAGGTTCCCTTTTAAGAGGAGTATTGAAAGTAGGCATGGAAATTGAAGTCAGACCTGGCCTCATTTCTAAGGATGAGGGTGGCAAATTTATTTGTACTCCAATAAAATCTCAGATTACATCACTATTCGCTGATCAAAATGATCTACAGTTTGCTGTCCCTGGTGGTTTAATCGGTGTTGGTACTAAAATAGATCCTATGTTAACCAGAGCTGATCGTATGGTTGGTCAAGTTTTGGGAGCCATCAACACTCTTCCAGATATTTATTCTGAATTAGAAATAGCCTATTATTTACTTCGACGTTTACTTGGTGTTCGTACTGAAGGAGACAAAAAAGCTGCCAAGGTAATCAAACATTTATTTTCTATCTTGTTTTTAGATCGTCAAAAGTTTGTTATATCCTGTTTTTTAAAATACTATTTTTGTTTGTTTTTCAGGTTCCAAAGCTTGTCAAAGGAGAAAGTTTAATGTTAAATATTGGGTCCTTATCAACAGGAGGACGAGTTCAAGCAGCCAAAGCTGATTTAGCAAAAGTTAGTTTACAAACTCCAGTTTGTGTGGAGATAAAAGAAAAAATTGCTCTAAGTAGAAGAGTGGATGGTCACTGGAGATTGATAGGATGGGGAGAAATCACCGGTGGTAAAAAAATTGCACCAACTTATAATTAACTGATGTTTAAAATTTTGCAACCATTTTCATTATGATGATTAATGAGACTCAAATCGAATAGAAAAATACTTATAATCTTTAAATTAAATTTTCTATTAAATAAGATCTGTCTTGTGATCCATGAAAAGAATGATCACTCAATATATTTAAATTTTATGGGTATGCATTTAAATTATCTCCTCGCCCGATTTATAACATTGGTCTTGTACTCTACTAATCAAAATCTAGTGATTTACGGAGTGATCTCTTAACTATTTTTTTAGTATCTTCATTTAATTATTTAATTTAACGATCATTTTTTGTAAAAAATTCCAGAAAAAATTGTTGCATCCGATTTCTCTGACAAATGCCAATGTTTTTAATTCTCATGTTATCTATCATGATAGCTTTTTCATTGAAGAACTTTGACCTCTTCTTCAAAAGAGATTTTGACTTCTGTTTATTTCATTCATTTACAATTTAACCTATCAGTTTAATTGAAAACTTGCAGTGAATTGATTTGCATCAGAAATCGGCGGTGGTATCAATTAATGTCTGAAATTAATAATAAGAGGGCAAACTGTTTCTTCATTCAAGTAAGTCTACTAGTGATATTAAAATTAGTTCGTGTTTTTGCACAATTTTCCTGTGAATAAAACTCGTCGAAATATTTACATAACTTCTAAAGCTTCAATTCTCATTCATTTTTCTTTGCATTTGGTTTAAGTTCATAACATTTCTGTACAAAATTTCTTAAATTATTGTTAATTGAATAGATGTTTAGTAAAGAATAATTCAGGCCTGTTAGATTGGCTACATCAAGAAGTGGTTTACATTTTCGCATAAAACTTTACTACAGAAGATTATTTACAACTGTTAGATGTTCCATAGTTTCATTGGCATCTTAAATAATTAAAATCTGACTGAGATCGTGCATAGATTGAAAAGGCTTGCAATCAAGTATCCATAAAGAGAGGTCATGATCGATGTAATAGGATAAACTTTCCATGAAACAATCCAATCGAGTTTGAGAAGAAAAGCTCCAAACCAAGTAAATAGAGCAACTAGTTTGAGATTCAAGGCAAAACTAGAGTCCCATTGATTAAATCTGGCCGATGGATTGAACATAAAATTGATAATCCTTAGGATTGAAGTGGATAATGGCAAAGATGGATCAGTGATAAGTATTGGTAGAACAGATGTGAATGTAACACAGAGAGCCAAGAAGAAAGTTACATCTAATTCACTGCAACAAAATATAAACAAGAAAACAAATTGTAATTTTTTATATGAAATTATCATACTTATTGAAATAACATACCTTAATAATGGTGCTCCTAAACATAAAATTATTAAAACAATAATTAAAGAGATAAAAAGAAGATTCAATCCAATACGATTTAAATTCTTGGACACATAACTCTAATTTGCAAGAAAAAAAGATAATTATTAAACCTGCGACAATGATCTTTTAATCGACCAAGTTGGTTGACAACTCACTTTTTCCCACAAAACGGAAAATGGCGCTCGTCCTCTGCCTTTGTATCCAATATATCCAATGAAAAGAACCTTGAGCGGCTCAAAAATGAGAAGAAAACATGAGACCAGTGGAATTCGTTCAGCTAGAGATGCTTCTCGCCATGGATTTAAAATAAATAAAGCCAAAGTACCAGAAATTAGACTGAGAAACTGGTAAACAAGTAATTTTACATTATGCATCTTATGATCACAGTCCTGTTGACAAAGACAAAGAAAGAAATAATTCGGAATTAATGTTGATTGATAGAAATTGAACTAAAAAACAACCAAGTTAATCAAAACGGATGATTCACAAGTGAATACAGCCTAATGAATTTCATGTGGATCGAAATCTCGGGTAGAGCAATTGGTGAACTTACCTTTCTAGAATTATGACAACCTAATGGTACATCTGGTATTTAAATCACTAAGCCATACATGTAGCATCACGAAAAAACCCGTAAAGATAAAGATTCAAATGAACTGTAATAAAATGAAAAAATAATAATACTCTTTGAATCAAACTGAATCAAAAATTCAATAAAGCTTTTTTGTTACTTAGCAACCAAACATATGATTGAATTTGGCAAAAGCTGGCTAATTTAACGCTGTACAAATTGTTACTGTAACAAGTTTTGTTGATGTAATTTCACGTCATGATTTAATCATAAGTTTCAGCCGATAATTGATCAAAGCTGAATAATGTGTCTTCGTTTTTTAAATATTATTAACATCGTTTTCAATTTAATATGGATTATCTAAATGAACTAGACATCAAGTTAAGTTACTCAGTGTATAAAAACTATCCTAAATGTGATAGATACCAACATTTGTTGTCAACTTTGGAGTGGTCTTGTCACGGAATACCTTGGTTTGTTGGCGTAATCATTGCCATTTACCTTTGGCCTTCAAGTAATCTATTAGCGGGGTTATTGGCTGGCCTGTTTCTCGATGTCCTTACAGTTGCTATTGTCAAAGCTGCAGTTGGTCGACGTCGTCCTGTGTATGCCAATCAAGATGACCAATTGATTGTTGCGTCGGTGGATAAACATTCTATGCCGTCTGGACATGCCTCTCGAGCAGTTTACATTGCATTGTTATTTAATAATGGTTCATTTTGGTCGCAACTAATTTGGAGTTGGGCTATCACAGTAGGACTATCTAGAATTGCCATGGGAAGGCATCACGTTTTTGATGTTTTGGCTGGTTTCTTCCTTGCCATGACAATTTACTCTTTACAATTTAGCTTTGATGGGTTTTTGAACAAACTTGTAGTCTGGGCTCTTCTCAATCAATTCAGAGCAACTAAAGATTTAAGTGATGTAAAGTTGGCTGAATGAAATTATTTTACATATCCAAGATGTTATTCAGCCAATTTTGAACCATTTTGTAATTTTCTTAAGAGATCTGATTTTCATAAATTATTGTATTTCTCATTCCCTAAAAGATCTGAAGCTCGTATTGTTTCGTTCGTTTCTAATTCAATACACAAAAGGTAACCATAAAAACATTGTTATTGAAACTGATTCTTGTAATCTCTAATTTTTCGCGTGGTATTAAATTTGAAAAAAATCATTTTGATATTCTAACCTGTGCGGAAGTATTCCTAGACAAATAATAAACCGTTTTTTAAACTAATTATAAGTCCAATATGCTTGAAATTTCACAGATAGAATCGAAGAGTGCATATCTCTATCTATATCAAATTTTATTAGAATAGCTTCTCTAGTTTACGAGATTTTTTTATTAATTTGTCGCGTTCAACTCAGCTGAAAACCTTGTTTTTGGAAAGGGCTTGCAAGCGCGCATCTTCAAAGTCCTGTAGCTTAGATCGTATTCGTAACTTTTTTTTATTGAAACTTCTCAAGATTACCTGTAGTCTAAAGTATATGCTGATGCTTTTTCGCGTTAAAAAAGCGCTACAATCAAAAATTATAAGTGAATTATTAGTAAATGATAGTGAAAAAATTTTAAAATCTCAATTTTACAAGCCTAAGAAAAACATGGCACAAAAAATTTATCATGTCTCTTAGAGTGGATTTGATAACTTCAGTTGAAAATTTGGACTTCAAGCTTTCGAATCATATATAAAATAATTTATATTTGCCATAAATTAGTTGTTAAATTTGATCAACAAAATTTGTCTAGAAATAAGTCCGCACAGGTTACAATTCGGTGAAATTTGTCTTGTACTCTACTAATCGAAACAGTGATTTACGGAGTAATCTCCCAACTATTTTTTATTTACTACTTATTTATTTCATTCATTTCCCATTCAATTAAATTGAAAAACTTGCAGTGAATTGATTTGCTGCAGAGTTCAGCGGTGCTTTCAATAAGTGTTTGAAAAAAGAGGACAAACTGAATCTTCTTACAATCATTTCACTTGATTTGAACCAGTTTTCTAAATGAAAGACAATGGTTTCTTATGAGCAAAAAGTGTTACTTTTAACGCATAGGTGCTAATAGGATTAACTCCAAAAGGCAAGCAATGTTTCTAAAAAGAAGTGCATCTCATTTTGCTTTGAGTATTGTTAGTGAAAATGACTCGTAAAGTTCCTTTAGCGATCAAGAAGTCAGTTATTGAATCCGATTCAAAGGGCATTAAAGCCACTAAGATCGCTGAAATTTACAATTTGAATGTTAATACAGTTCGTGGTATCTTGATGAGATACAAAAAAACTGAGTGCCTGGAAAAACCAACCGGTAAAAGACCAAACAAACTGAGTCAAGAAATTGTTGATGATTTGCGATCATGGTTCGATACGGATTGTACCATTACTCTGTCTGAAGCCAAGGATAAATTGTTTGAAAAATATGATGTTAATGTGTGTATCCAAACAATCAAAAATTATTTGGATAAAATTCATTTTTCATTCAAAAGGATTAGCTTGGTACCCGAAAGACGAAATGATCCACGTGTTGTTCTGTGTAGGAAAATCTATGCAATGGAATTTATGCGTTTATTTGGATCGAGAGATGTTTTTTTTCTTGGTGAAACTGATATAAAAGTTCATACAAGGGTTAACTATGGATGGTCGAGGCAAGGTGAAAGAGACAATGTTAATGTGAAGACAATTAGATCGAAAGATTTTTCAGTGGGTGCTGTAATGGATCATTCTAGGCTCTACTTCTATGAGACCAAGGAGAAAAGTTTCAATACAGAACTTCCTAAAGAGTTCATTAAAAAGTTCATTGAAAAGTTGAAAGATGATAAAATTAAAAACGCTATCATCGTTATGGATAATGACCCTTTCCATCATTCAGAGGAAATATTGTCGTTGGTTAATGAAAATCATCATTCAATAATGTTTCTACCGCCTTATTCACCCTTTCTTAATCCAATCGAAAAATTATTCAGCCAGTTGAAGCATCACGTTGAAAAGTTCAAACCAAATGATGCAGATGATGTTTTTACTGGTGTTGAGCTTGTTGCACAGGTGATAAGTGAAAGCGATTGTACCAATTACTTCAAGTATATGATGACTTATTTGCCTCGATGTAAAAACGTAGAAATTATTGAAAATTAAAGAAAAACATTTTCTTCTTAGAAAGCATTTTCTCCTTTTCAGAAACCATTGCTTGCCTTTTGGATTTTATCCTATTAGCACAAAGGTGTTAAAAGTAACATTTATTGCTTATTGGAAACCATTGTCTCGCATTTGAAAACTGGTTCAGCCAAAGCGTAATCACTGTAAGTCTACGAGTGATATTAAGATTAGTTCCTGTTTGAGCACAATTTTACTGTGAATCAAGACTCATTGAAATATTTGAATAACTTCTAAAACTTAATATTCTCGTTCGAAATCAATATTTAAAGTCTCTGGGTTGGTTTATCATTTACTAATATCAATAAAGTTTACTTTTTTCAAAAAAGCAAATCAAAGCTTTTAACAGACGTAAATTTTAGTATCGATATCAATTGATTAAGTAGGTTTTAAGTTGCTTGCATGAGAAGGTCAATGAACGGATGAAAAAACTGAATTAAAAAATGTGTTTAAATCAGTCATCAAAGATTAAACCAGCAAAATTTGAACAAGCTGTATTAGCAATCATCAAATTCAGAAAGTCCAATTTTTTTCCATGTTTCTCTTTACCCCAATTTTGCTGTTCTCAGTTTAAGAGTAAATGATGATTTTTACAATTCTTCAAGTTCGAAATGATAGAATGTCTGAACTTTTTTCAAAAACACCATGCATTAGCCCTCAATTTCTCAGATTTCTTCATTAAAAATAAATTCACTCATCTGATGAATTGTATAATAAAGTTTGAAATTAATTACATTATTAATTAATTGTGGCTGATGAATGAAATAAATTACAACACAAACTCTGAAAGCTTTTGTCTCACCAATAGATGGCAATAGAAAAATTCATTTTATCATTTTGCGGATTCAGCGGTGAAAATTCTTAGACCGAAAATATTCGGTTACGTTTAGCATGTTGCACGGTTATTGTCTAATCCATGAAATAAGGCACTTTTATTGCATTACGCAACTATAAGATTTATTGCAGAATGAGTTTTCAGATAAATTTGAACCAGAATAAAGTTTTATAAAATTTTATTAATAGGTCGTTTTACCTATTGTTTTGAACGTAATCCTCTTCTCTGATGAATATAAATAGTGTTTCATTTCTTTACAAGTGTATAAAAAATCAAAGAGAAAAGAGGAGCACAGAATTGACTCTTTGAAAAAAAACAGAGAAAAGGATTTTGTGTTTTTGTGTTTGCGTGTGTAAGCCCAGAGGTTTGTCTTAACCCAAAATAAATTAGAAGAAAAACAAAAAAAGGTTTAAGATTAATATTTGATTGATGAAAAATAAGTAATATGCCAACGATAATTCATTCGCAGCCACAAGGTGATGAAAATAGTGATGAAATATCATATCTCTATTTGTTTACTTTTTGACACATTGAGAGATTAACATCGTCAGGCATTTAAATTAGTCAAGGTTGCTGCCATTTCAATTGATCCTTCAGGTAATTTATCTCTACCTTTTAAGTCAGTAAAAAATCGATTAGTTGGATCAGCACCTGCATTTGATTTGGTTGATCTCCAATTGTCACATTCAATAGGATTGTTGTCATTAATATCACTTCCTATTTCACTAGAAGAGAATGAATTTTTATAGATGGAACCATTTTCAACAGGACTACCATCTTCATCTGATGAGAAAGTTTTCCCATTTTTGGGTTTATTACTTTCAAAATATCTTTTCCAGGTTCTTGGTAAGGGAGGGAAACAACTGTTTGAAGCATAATAATCTTTGAAAATACGCTCCTCTCGAAAAGCCTGCATAGCAATATACGAATGAATTAACAGTCTGGGAAATCGTGAGGTAAAGTATGAAACAAATTCATCTGGAATCGCTCCCAGAGATTTTTGCAAAGATGGATTTAATTCAAGGTAGTGATGTTTCTTGTTTCGTAAACCTCTTAAAAGATCTCTCACAGAGCTTCCTCGATAACTTCGAAATTTAGTAAGATCGTGTTGCAAATCTTCTGTTATATGACGACGCCAGTCTCCTTTTACAACATCAAATCCACCTTTTTCTAGTGATTGTACTAGATCAGAATCATGAGATGCTTTCTCCAATCTATCTGAAACATCTTGAAAGAAAGCCAATTGACGAGCAGGTGTCCAAAACAAAGGATGTTTCAAGATAGCTTCGATAGATGGTCGTTCAGTTGACTTTAAGGCTATCATTGATTCAACTATGTTTGTCTTTAAAAGGTTTTCTTCATCGGGTAAATGCTCCAAATTGAAACGCCCTTTCAAAATATTCGCTTGCCTTTCAATTGATTCACCAAACGGATGTTTACCTTTGGTCATAACATAATAGAAAAGGCAGCCAAATGAAAAAATATCAACAGGTTTAGCAAATTTTATGGAGCCTTGTCTATCAAGTTTACTTTGAATAACCTCAGGAGCAATCCAGCCAACAGTTCCTCGAACAATATGAGTTGTTTCTAGATATTCTCCGCTCATTGATGTTGTAGAAGCAATTTGTTTACTAACACCAAAATCAGATATCAGAATTTTTCTCTTTTGAGAGGGCTTTAAAGGCATTGATATAAGAATATTTTGTGGTTTTATATCACGGTGAACAATATTTAATGAATGAAGATGCTCCAGACCAAGTCCAGTTTGGTAAAGAATATCAATTGGATCTAAATCAATTGTCTGATCATTTGTTCCTTCAATATAATCAGCCAAGGAATAATGAGCTAATTCGATACCAATGTATTTAAAAAGTTCGTCAGATTCAGTAGCAAAATAACGAATCAAATTTTGATGTTGAAAAGTTCGGAGAAGCTCTATTTCTCTTTCAGCCAGAGTAAAATAGTCAATTATTACTCTTTTAACAGCTATTTGTTGGGAGTTTTCAAAATATCCTTTATATACAACGGTACCAGCTGAACCATAACCGATTATTTGTTTAGGGTCAAAACATATTTTGCCAATCGATTTGAAATTTGAAGGTGGAATACTTTTTCTTCTAACGAAGAGATATAGAAGTGCCGATAAGCCAACAATTATGATGAAAATGAATAATAATGTTTCTAACAATGGCTCTAAAAAGATATTATCACAGGTGTAATCTTTCTCGTTATGCTGAGAATCAAGAAACAGCATCATTGAATGACCTTGCTGGTGATAAAGAAATGTAACAGCGACGGAAGAATCCTCTTTAACACCTCCCGACATGGCAAACATTGGTAAATTTTCTTCAGATTTACCAATGACATCGTCAATCACCATGTAGCCAATGTCTCCCGTTTTCTGTACATCTTGCTCAATGATGGCAAGTTCATCCATATATTGGTTGATATTTTCCATTTTGATTGAAGAATCTATCTTCAGTTGCACCGGGTAGGAAACACAAAAAAACCAACAAAGGAAACAATATAAAACACAAGCCAAGGGAAATAAAGCCGATCAACAGGCGTGAATGTTGTTAGTATCGATATCAATTGATAAAGTAAAGATGCAGGATGTAGGTTGTTTATATGAGAAGGGAAATTCATCAAGTCAACCAGTAAAGTAAAGCACTGAATGAATGAAAACAATTGATAAACACAACTCCAAGGTGACCAGATAATTACGATGACCAGAAAATTTAATGTAACTTAACAGTTTTTGGTTAAATTTCATCATAATTAAATTTCTAGTTCATTACTGAATATCCAAAAAATACATAAAAGACATGAATTGAAAGTGAAATTTTCTGGGTTCTGTAGTGTTGAAAGATGCATTAAAAACTGGTAACCGGTTATTCAGTTAAAAGGAAAAGTAACCAGCTTTGGTAACTTTAACCGTTTACTTCAAGAGGGAGATTCAAAATAAATGATGATTGAAATTAAAATTCTTATTGTTTTCACTTCAATTATATTTACATGAATAAAAGAATGGAATTTCAGAATGAAAAGGTTTAATATAACAATTCACATGAGCATCAAAAGTCTAGAGTTCTAAGCGGCTATGAAGGAATTTCTTATCCATACATCTAGACCAATATCTTTAATAGATCTCCTTTGCTCAGTCTTTCATTACTTTATCATTCAATTAAATTTTTAATTTTCAAAGGAATAATGAAAATCTCACTTTTCTGCTTTCATATTTTTTTGAATTTCCTTGTTAAAGTAAATTACAATCAAGCGGTTAGGGTTTCCAAAGCTGGTTACTTTTACTTTTAACTAAATAACCGGTTTCCAGTAACCAATGTTTTTCAATCACTTCAGTACCGAGTGTAGTTTACATTTAGATTAAGTCTGTTCAGTAAATTGTGGACGTATAAGATGATCTAGAAATTTAATAATGATAAGATCAAATCACATACTGGTGAGTTATCCAGAATTTTATTCTATTCTTTGGTTTGTTTTTATCAATTGTTTTCATTCATTCAGTTTTCCATTTTATTAGGTGACAATATTTTGTTTGGATTGGGAAAAGACTTGACGTATCATCTGTTCATTTACCTTCTTATATAAACAAGCTGCATTTTTACTTCATCAAGTGATTTCAATATTGCAAACATTTACGCCTGTTGATCAACTCTACTTCCCTTGATTTAGTTTATTGATTATTTCATCTGCTGATTTTTTTGTGTTTCATACCTGGTATCTGTAAAGAAAATTTTTGAATCAAAATGGAAAATATCAACACATACATTGACAATCTTTTTTCAGTAAATATGACGATGATGTTTTCAGCGAAAGCTAAATCTCTTGCGCCAAATATCGGTGACCTTTTAAAGCAATTTAAAACTATTAAAGGATTGCAAGGTTGGTAATTCAGTTTTATCGCTAAGTGAATCCATATCAGTGAATTTGATAACATTTTGTGCAGCTTAGCAATTTAATGTGACAGGTTAATTTTTCCTTTTATTTAAACCACTCTGTTCATTAATTGTCTTTATTTTTTCTTTGCATTATCTAGCATCTATACGGGAACCCAATTCTGATAAATATTATGCTGTCAATGATCTCAGAATAAAATTAAGTGAAACTGGAGAGATTGAATCGAAACCGAATCCTATTCAAGTGAAAAAACTTCTCTATGATTGTGTCCTTGCTTACAATAACGATTTGAATACTTTTGAAGGAGGATTTATTGACGAAACACCTTGGTTTAATGCTTGGAAAAAAGTATTCTTAACCAATTTGGAAAGTAACGATCATGATTTTATTGGAGCTCATGTTGGTGTCATTTTTTTCATCACGGAAGGAGATTTAGACAATTTTCGCGAAATTTTAACAAAATTACAAGCAGAAGTTAAATCCATATCTTCTATTAAATGGTTTTTCCCGAATTTTCTTAAGTATATTATCGTTTTAAGTGACAAAGATTCCAGTTTATTTAATCAAGAAAATGATGAATTTGGTCCAACTGCTACTTTACATCCAGCCTATAGTGATCTTGTTTCTATGTATGATACAAACAAATGTTTCTGGTTCGAAATTGATCCAGTCAACTCATCAGATTCAGATTCGGAACCAGTAACAAATTATGATACAATGGATAATGCAAATGTAGTCAACATTTTGGATCATCAAGATCCATTAACATCTTTAATGACCTTGAATGACAAGGAAATTGAAGAGCATACTGAATCAGTTCAACCACCTCCACCACCTCCTGAGTCAAAAAGCAAATTTATTCAACCCAACTGTCAAAGGATGTTGGGAAAATGTGATAAGCTGTTGCGTCGAATGTTTGTTCGAGCTGTTATTCCTTGGTTTGAAAAGCAGTTGGGAATTTTGGCTGAAGCATTAGCATCTCGGAAAGGTTTACGACGGAGTATTTTCAGTGCAACTAAACAGCTATTGGCAATATCATCTTCAACAATGAACCTCAAAGGACCTAATCAAAGTATCGTGTACTCTTTAGAAGCAAATGAAATGCAGTATCGCAAATTCGCTGATCTTACTATGTGTCTAGGTTTATATGATGTTGCATACGCATCTTATTATGCTGCTCGTAAGGAGTTTCAAAGTGAAGGTGCATGGTTATATTATGCTGGAGCATCTGAAGCTGCTGCAATCGCCTCATATCTTTTAAACAAATTTCAAAAGTATTACTTAGACCAAGCAATCGTTTATTACCTTGAATCATCTAAATCATCTCATCTAGCAGCGAGAGCTACTTTGTTTGTCACTGACGTTATCAGAGAATCATCACCTAACGAAGCTGCCGGTTTTTTTATTCGATTGATTTCAGAAGACAGTGATTTAAGATCAGGCTTGTTTCTTGAACAAGCAGCTAAATGTTTTCTTTTGGCTTTTCCAACAAGAAAACGTAAAGCCATATTCCATTTTGTTCTTGCCGGACACCGCTACAATCGATGTGGACTCAAGCGTCTTGCATTAGCATCTTACCTGAAATACTCTTCCTCTCATTGGTCTTTGGCTGCTGAACATGTGAACTTTACCGTGGCTAAGTTATACCTGCAAATATCTAATAATATTACCGATAAAGAATTGAAAACATTATATAGGGAGCGTGGCCTGAACTTACTTCAATCAAACGCTGATAAGCAACTTTTTTTCAATGAATTCCTGAAAGAATTGAAAGCAAAAGATGATGGAGAAAATCTTTTGGCTACAAATGTAAATATCCCTAAAATTGAAAGCATCACCAAGTGTACCATTGAAGGTTCCAGCATGAAAGGTTCACGTCAAATTTGTTTTCTCAATGAACCGATGAGCCTCCAGCTGACTCTATCTTCTTCATTTGATATTCAATTGAATGATTTACAGCTATTGGTGGACAATTCGGAAGTTGATTGTACCTCATATGAAGTGAACTTGGAGTCAAGCCAGCCTTTTACGGTCACTTGTTCCTTAATGCCAACTGCAATCTGTGATTTCAATGTGATAGGACTAAGTTTCAATATACTTGGAACAAAATTCATTAACCACTTTAATGAAAAGATTACAAAAACATTGATGTTCTCCTGCATTGAAACTTTACCTCCAATCAATGTTACCATCAACATTGGTCAACTGACGGCAAATAGTAACACAATCGAGTTATATACAGGTCAAATTGTCGATCTGTCCATTCTGTGCAATTTCACAAATGAAAGTATATCAGATTCAATATATCAAGCTAAATTAACTACCAATGGTAATTTAAAAGGATTTGATGGAGATTCGTTGAAGCAACCAATGCCGATTAAATTTGGTCAAAACAATTCATTCCAATTCCAAGCGCCTTACCTGCCCAAACTATTTCCATTATTTTTTTCAATTAGCTACCATAAAACCGATGAAGTTATTAGAGAAAGAACAGTTACTCGTAACATTTCCCTTAGAGTTCGAGAATGTCTTCAATTAGATGGATTATTTCATAGTGTTGTTAGTTTGAAAAATTTATCAACCAGTTCGAGTATAATCCTTTTTTCAGGTGAAAATGAAAAACTTGAAGTAGGACCAGGGCTAACAGGTCACATATTAGCCCATGACAATTATATCAAATGGGAGAGCACCAATGTTCATGGAGATATCAATATATCCGTCTAGCCTTATGTAAAATTATACCAAATTTTATAGCTCAATTCTGAGAATAAAATACAAAACTCATTTCAAATATCTTTTATCATTTGTAATCTCAAAGGTTTCATTCCAAAATATCAAAGGTAATATCCATAAATTGTGGTTCATCACGATTACGGGGGCAGTGGCTAGTTGATAAAAAATGGAATCCAGTTTTGTTTGTATAACAATGCTGATAGCTCATACAGATTATCTAATCTGACAATTTAAACATTGCACTTGATCCGTATTACCTAGTTAGTTTACTAATTGCCTGTCATCTGTTAAAATGAACTGGAAACTACAGATATTTGTTTTCCTTTTTCTAAATGTTATTACCCTTTGTTTGTCCAAATTAATTGTGAAAACTGAATGGGGTTCAATCAGAGGATTTTATCAAAAATTTGGTGACAAACAGATTCGGTCTTTTCTTGGTATTCCTTATGCTCTTCCACCAGTGGGTCCATTGAGGTTTCGGAAGCCAATTGAATTAGTTAAACCTTTTAGAGGCATTTACAGAACCAAAAATTTTGGTCCTGCTTGCCTTCAAACAAAACTTAATGGTGCCATTCATGCGCCAAACTCAACAATAAGTGAAAATTGTTTGTTTCTCAATGTTTGGACACCAATCGATGCGTCCAAGAAAAAATTGTACCCTGTTCTTGTCTATATCCATGGAGCTGCATTCATTTTTGGTTCAGCATCAGGACCCAGGTCAAGAGGAGACGTTCTAACAGCATACAATGACATTGTAACAGTCAATCTCAACCATCGGCTGGGTGCCTCTGGACTAGCTTATGGGAAATCAGATTCAATTGTTGGCAATCAACAAGTGCACGATGTGATTATGGCACTTGAATGGGTAAAAAGGAATATTGGTGCTTTCGGTGGAGATCCTAACCAAATAACATTATCCGGAATGAGCTCAGGAGCTATTTTAGCCTCTGCCATCTTTTTATCTCCTGCGGTTGAATCTGGTCTTTTTAATAAAATTGTTTTAATGAGTGGAGTCGCAATTGATCAAGTAAATGTTGTAAATCCCAAAAAACTTTTCAACCTAACCAAATCCATGTCTAGTTCACTTGGTTGTTCACATTATTCAAGCTCGAATGACTCCATTCAAATTGGCGAAATTATATGCTTGAAAAAAGCTAAAGCCGAGTCAATAGCGGATACGCCTGAAAACCCATCTTTTTTACCTGTTTATAACGATCGATATATTTTACCAGAGTCACCTGTTAAAATTGTAAACAAAAAATCATTCCCTAAAGGTTTCAAATTTTTGATTGGAACTGAAGCCGATGAAAACTTGATTCTCAAATCATACAGTCCAACGACAAAAAAAGAAGCCATTGAATATATGGAGAAAGCTGTTTCATCCCTTGATCTTACTCAGTTAAACATAACACATTTGTTGATGAAGTATTTTGAAGATGTGAATGACAATGATACATCTCTAATCAAGAGACGCTTCAATGATTTTGGGTCTGATCTTCAGTTCCACTGTCCTTCGTTATTGTATTCTGTCGCGTTTGCAAGCAATTCATACAACAAAGTCTACTTATATCGAAATGATTATGTTACTTCTTACTTCAGTAATGCTTCACGGCCTTATGGAGCTGGTCATGCTGATGATCATCGATTGTTTTTGGGTGAACCTTTCCGATCACCTGAAATGTATTCAGACGATAAGGACAGAGAATTAAGTCGTTTCATGATGAAAATATTATCCGATTTTGTTAAAGGAAAAGACCTATTTTGGGACTCAATTAAAATCAATGGAAATCAATCAGACAAAATCTCGCTTCCACGATGGCGTATACAAAACAATGAACCATTTGATAAAGTTGATTATGATGAAGATACAGATTTATGTTTGGATTGGGCTAAATATTATGGCTTGCAGATTTGATCACAACTCGGTTCGAAAATACTGGAATCGATTTCAACTTCCAATAGATTTTCGATTTTATCAACCTAATTTGTGCTGATAAAAATATATGAAACCATTTTTGAACTAATTTTGTTGATAATTTTTCCCATTGAAAATCAATGGACTTTTCCGCGGTTTATCTTCATAAAAGCATAGATAAAAAGTATGCAAACTGAAGAGTAAATGAAAAGCCCTGTTTATCGTGTTTTTATCAAAGCAATGATTCAATATTCGTGTCAATCTTCTATTGATTTCCTCAATTTTCTTGTATATTTACTCGTATTAATTGATAAATATTTCAGTTTACCGAACAATAAAATGAGGACCAACTGCTACTTTACATAATCTTGTACAAATAAGATAGATAAGGTTAAAAAAAATTTTAGCTATTCGACCCATTTAACTCACCAGATTCAGCACTGAAATCAATGACTTTAAAAACAATACATTGGATAATCATATTTGCGTCAAATTCATAAACATTTTGATGATAAAATCGCAAAAACATTGATGATCCCTTTGCTCTCAAAATTCCCTTCAAGGTTTCAGATCGACTTCAATCAGATGATTATTTCACATTGTTAGTTGGAAAGATTAATTGATAAGTACAAGAGATTTCCTGAAAGCAAACTTGCAACAAGTTCTGGTAACCGATTACATATTAGCTCATGACAGTCATCGGGGGAGGTTCATGCAGATAACAATGAATATTTCTGACTTTATGTCAAGTGCAACTAAATTTCATTATGCGGTTCCAAGAATAAAATACTAACTGTTGAAATAATAGTGAGTGCAATATCAAAAATGAAAACGCTTTAGTTTTTCAACAACAAGAATCAATAAATGACCATTTAATTAGATGATTAAAACGTTATATCGTTTAAGTTACTTGTTTAATTGAGTTAGTTGAATAATTGCCATCAGTCAAAATGAACTGGAAACTACAGATATTTGTTTTCCTTTTTCTAAATGTTGTTACAATTTGTTTGTCAAAATTAATTGTGAAAACTGAATGGGGTTCAATCAGAGGATTTTATGAAAAGTTTGGTGACAAGCAGATTCGGTCTTTTCTTGGTATTCCTTATGCTCTTCCACCAGTGGGTCCATTAAGGTTTCGGAAGCCAATTGAATTAGTTAAACCTTTTAAGGGCATTTACAGAGCCAAAAATTTTGGTCCTGCTTGCCTCCAATCCGAAGCTGATCGGGATAGACATACTCCCAACTCAACAATCAGTGAAAATTGTTTGTTTCTCAATGTTTGGACACCAATCGATGCTTCCGAGAAAAAGTTGTATCCTGTTATTATTTATATCCATGGAGCTGCATTTACTTTTGGTTCGGCAGAATCTACTAGTCAAAGAGGCGACATTTTAACAGCACTCAACGACATTATAACAGTCAATCTCAACCATCGATTGGGTGCTTCTGGACTAGCTTATGGGAAATCAGATTCAATTGTTGGCAACCAGCAAGTTCACGATGTGATTATGGCACTAGAGTGGGTCAAGAGGAATATTGGTGCTTTCGGTGGAGACTCTAACCAAATAACATTATCCGGAATGAGTTCAGGAGCTATTTTAGCCTCTGCCATCTTTTTATCTCCTGCGGTCAAATCTGGACTTTTTAATAAAGTTTTCTTAATGAGTGGAGTCGCACTAGATCAAGTAGCTATTTATAACCCAAACAAAATTTTTAAGCAAACCAAATCCATGTCCAGTTCACTCGGCTGTTCACAATATGCAAGTTCAAATGACTCCTTTCAAATTGGCGAAGTTATTTGCCTGAAAAAAGTTGAATCAAAAGCAATAGCTGACACAGAAGAGAATAGATCTTTTTACCCAATCTACAACGATGGTGACATTTTCCCTGAATCACCTGCTCGAGTTGTGAGCAAAAAATCATTTCCTAAAGGCATCAAATTTTTAATGGGAACTGAAGCTGATGAAAGTTTTTTCTCTAAAGCCTTTAGTCCAACAACTAAAAAAGAGGCTTTGAGTAATATGGAAACGCTCATTTCAGCTCTTGAAATTACACAACTAAACATGACCAATTTGTTAATGAAGTATTTTGATGGTATTGACGATAATAATGCTACTTTGATTCATAAACGTTTCGATGATTTCGGGTCTGATCTTCAATTCCACTGTCCTTCGTTATTGTATTCTGTAGCCTTCGCCAGTAATTCACAAAACAACGTCTACATATATCGAAATGATTATGTTACTTCTAACTTTGATCCATCTGAGCGTCCTAATGGTGCCCGCCATTCTGATGTGCAACGCATGTTTTTTGGTGATCCTTTTAGATCACCAGAAATTTATAAAGAAGATCGAGATAGAGATTTGAGTCGTTTCATGATGAAAACATTATCTGATTTTGTTAGAGGAAAGGAATTATTTTGGGATTCAATTAAAATTAATGGAAATCAATCGGATAAGATCTCGCTTCCACGATGGCGTATACAAAACAACGAATCATTCGATAAAGTTGATTATGATGACGATAAAGATATATGCTTGGAATGGGCTGAATATTATGGTTTACAGATTTGATAACTTAAGCTCGAAAAGCATAGGAGAGCATCAAGCGATTTCCAGTTGCAAGTTTAAAGATCGTTCAATACTCATAATTTATTTTTGTAACCTTTTTTATATATGTAATAACAGACATTAAACTCTACTCATGTACATCTATTAAACTACTTATTGTACTTATTATAATAATAAGACCATCTCAATCAGTCCCTCATTTTATTCGCGGAATTCAATAGTAAAATTTGCTTTTACTTACCATAAACTTATGTATATAAATTGTTAGCTCTACAAACCGATTATTGTTCTGTCGCCATTTCATTCAGGAAAATCCTTGAACTTGTTGACCAATCCTTCGAGCCGATAGCAATGGGGAATAATCCCAATCTGATGAGTTGACTTGATGAGTTGACTGGATCAATTACGAGTCAAAACATAAGTTTGTAAACAAGATGGTTGTTACTGAAAAGACACAATAAACACATTCATGCACAAATTGACACAAATTGACACAAATACTAGAAGAAAAATGGGCAAAAACGGGTGAAATTAGTTTCTTTCAAATTTAGACTAATGTTCGTTTGTAGGGACATAAAAACTGATTCCTTCTGTGCAATTTACAAGTTGCTCTAAGCCACATTTTTCGAGTAAATCGAAGTTAAAGTTTAAACTTCGAACCCTTTTTGTGCAACTGTTTGACCAGATTTTCTCATCAAACTCATATTTCTGATCTAACTTTTGATGGCTAATGAGAAAATGCATTTATTTTGAGGAATAAAAGTTTCTTGTTTCTGTAAAACAGATCAGTTCGCTTTTTAGTTAAGCCGACCGCATTTCATGACCATAACAATTAGGAAGCTGAAACTTATTATTTGTGTATAAAAATTGTTTTTACACATCATGAATGGAATATTTTTTAAAATTTATCAACGATTCTCTTGATTTTGGCCATTGGCCTAAAAACTTTGAACCTAAATATTTCGATAATGATTGCACCTACAATGACCATTTTTCGACCAAACATTTAATTGTACTATGGGCTATAACAGTATATGACTGAATATCGTATAAAATCTGAGCTGATTCATTTATTAATGAATATTCTAAAGCATAAGATTTTTGTTTAGCAACTTTATAAACCAAGTCTCAAATCTGATAACATAAGTAATTCAATGCAATAACTTTTCTCGCAGAACCTTGAATAATTTGATACTTCGATATATTATAGCCCAAAATGCAATCTAATGTTTGGTCAAAAAATGGTGAATGTAAGTGCTATCATTATCGAAATATATAGGGTCAAAAGTTTTTAGTTCAATGGCCAAAATCAAGAGAACTGATGATGACTTGAAAAAATTAATTAATCCTTGATGTTTACTAGCAATTTTTTATGACTAATATCAAGTTTCAGCTCTCTAACTATTACGGTCACAGAATGCGATCGGTTTAAAAGAAAATCGAACTTGATCTGTTTTATCGAAACAGAAAATGTTATCTAACTAAATAAGACCGTTTTCCGGTTGATCATCAAAAGTTACATCGTTAGGATAAGTTTCATGAAAAAAGCTGTTTCCATAATTGAACAAATTACGATCGAAGTTTCAAATTTGACCTCGATTTTCTCCGAAACTGTCCTTCAGATGAATTAATTAATAGCACCAATGGACTTAGTTTTTACGTCCCTACAAAGTTACCGAGTCTCGACTCTTAGCTCAAATGTTCGAGACTTTGACAGCACTCTTTGCATTTCATTTGCAACTTTAACCAGAAAATGGGTTTATTTACCAAGAAATGGGTTTAAATGAGTTTGTTTTGTTAAATAAGTTGTTTCTCATGCATTTACAGCCCAAATATCATGACCCAAATGCGCTAATAGAAAGTTTTTAAATTGCATTGAGTTACTAATTAGTAAAGAATTAAATTGGTGAAAGAATTATGATTGTAAGTGATGCCACTCTCTAAATATCGAAGCTCGAAGTTTTAAGACCAATGCGCAAAATAAAGAGAACTGTTGTTGCATCTAAAAAAGTATTTGATCCATGTTGTGACCTAACAATATTTATGATCAAATAATAAGTTTCAGCTTCCTAATTGTTACGGTCATGAAATGCGGTCGGTTAAAGTAAAAATCGAACTGATCTGTTTTACAGAAACAAGAAACTTTTATTCCTCAAAATAAATGCATTTTCTAATTAGCAATCAAAAGTTACAACAGAAATATGATTTTGATGAAAAAATCTGGTCAAACAGTTGCACAAAAAGGGTTCGAAGTTTAAACTTTAACCTCGATTTATTCGAAAGCTGTGGGTTAGAGAAACTTTTAAATCGCACAAAGGAATCAGTTTTTATGTCCATACAAACGAACATTAGTCTAAACTTCAGTAAATCTAATTTTGAGGCACTTTTGTACATTTCTTTCAATTCGTGTCAATTTGTGCATTAATGTGTTAATTGTGTCTTTTTAGTAACAACCATCTTGTTTCTATGTGTGACATAAACTAATGTTTTGGCTCGTAATTGATCCAGTCAACTCATCAGAAGTTTAACTGATGATTCGTTCGAAGATTGGTTAACAAGTTCAAGGATGTTCCTCAATGAAATGGCAACAGATCAAATAGACACAGATCGTGGGTGGTTTGTAGAGCTTATATTTATAACTTTATGTCAAGTAAAACCAAATTTTACTATTGGATTCCGAGAATAAAATGAGGGACTAATTGAGATGGTAGTAAGTACAAAGGCATTGGCCTGTCGATAAAATGAAGTCTCTTAACTTTTTCCTACAACAATACTGATCGAAATTAAGATTATTTAATCTGATATTCAAACATTGTATTGATCTGCATTATTGACTTACAATGTTAGTTGAATATTTGCTTGCCATCAGTTAAAATGAACTGGAAACTACAGATATTTGTTTTACTTTTTTTCAATGTTACAATTTGTTCGTCCAAATTAATTGTGAAAACTGAATGGGGTTCAATCAGAGGATTTTATGAAAAGTTTGGTGACAAGCAGATTCGGTCTTTTCTTGGTATTCCTTATGCTCTTCCACCAGTGGGTCCTTTAAGGTTTCGGAAGCCAATTGAATTAGTTAAACCTTTCAAAGGCATTTACAGAGCCAAAAATTTTGGTCCTGCTTGCCTCCAATCAGAAGTGTTCCGAGACGCTCATACACCAAACTCAACAATCAGTGAAAATTGTTTATTTCTCAATGTTTGGACACCAGTTGATGTGTCCAAGAAAAAGTTGTATCCTGTTCTTATTTATATCCATGGATCTTCATTCACTTTTGGTTCATCAGCATCTTCTAGTCAAAGAGGAGACGTTTTAACAGCATTCAATGACATTGTCACAGTAAACTTGAACCATCGATTAGGTGCTACTGGACTCGCTTATGCTGAGTCAGATGCAATTGTTGGTAATCAACAGTTACATGATATAATTATGGCACTAAAATGGGTCAAGAGGAATATTGGTGCTTTCGGTGGAGACCCTAACCAAATAACATTATCCGGAATGAGCTCAGGAGCTATTTTAGCCTCTGCCATCTTTTTATCTCCTGCGGTCGAATCTGGTCTTTTTAATAAAGTTTTCTTAATGAGTGGAGTCTCAATAGATCAAGTGAATAC